CTGCCCTGGTGCCACTGTGCAGAAAGTGGGTGAATATCGCAAGATCTTTGGTGACGCATCGGCAGCCAAATTTACGCCTTTTGAAGATCTTGCCAACACATTTGGATTGAAATTATTGAATATGAGAAATAACTTTGAAATTACTGGAAATCTGAAGGACTGCAAGCGCACACAGTAAGGTTTCTCCGGTACGCCGGAAGGATCAGGATGCAGTGAAGTTTGTCCAGAAATCAGTTGCATTGTTTGTGTTTTGGTGCATGGATAGTAAAGGATATACTATCAAATTTGCTTGCAGCACTTTCATATTAAAAATTACCCGGCAATGGTCTTGAAAATGGCCGGCAACACTTTTGGCTGAAAAAACATATCATGGTGACGCTGCTTGCACCCCACTCTCAGGAAGATGTAGGTTTTTGGGGAATATTCCCCAGCAAAATGGGCTTCCTGAAACCAATGGTCCATGCAGTTTGTGCAGAATTATCTTGATACCGCACAGGATTGCTCAAAACCGCGCAGTTGGCAGTAGCAAATGGCCGCACAGATTGGGTGGCGGCATTGGTGCACTGAAGGCAGCAATGGTCTTCATTATGCATGGCTGTGAGTCGCACAAATACGATCCTGTAATTGCACTGCCACAGTTGTTAGCATTACGTGGCATTGAACATGTGTGCAGTCACTAATAAAAGTTGGCTAAACAACTACGGAATGGGGCAGTCAAGGTGGAGACCACACCTGGGTGGAGAGTCCCATGCCAGGCAGAAGGCCCCACTCCAAGGCAGAGAGTCCCACTACAGGGCACCTAGAGTGGGACTCTCTGTATACCATATAAATGGTATACTTTAAGGCTTCAAGTATACTACACTTGAGGGCTGGAAAAGTCCTCCTTTTTTCTGAAATATCTAATATCATATAATTTCAGTAGGTGTCAAATCTCATGGCTCTAATGTCATGTATCTTTGCTTGATTGAAAAAATTGCAGTTTGCACTTTGCAAACATGTCATTTCATAAAATTGTCAACTTCTGCAATGATGGCTCAATCCTCAGTACTTCAATGTTCCTGCCAAAATATCCTGCAGAATGTAATAACAAGTTAACCCAAAACGTTTCCTTGAAGATTGCATAGCTGCAATCATGTCCGAGTGGTCTGACTGCATCATCATGTGTTCAGTTGCCACTTAAGTGAAGACAAATGTTAGTTTTGCTGTTGGACTGTTTTTAGTTTAAAATTAGAGATTTGGAGTAAAACGTGCATGGATTTTGTAAATAAGTTTGCAGCTCGTAAATGGCTTTTCATAGCTGAGATGGAATTCAAGTCTAGAAGAAATGGAATGATAGCTGGCAAATCCATAAAACCACGTCTCACCAAGTATATATATTCTATGCCTGCCATTCTCACCACTGACCAGTGAAGTATTATGGATTATTTATTTATTAACGGATACCATTTGCATTGTTGAGTCCTTCAAGCTAGAGAGCTCTGGGCAAGAAAATGGATGCAGCAAGCACCCAAGGTCAGGAGACTTTTTACATGCTCCAAAGGTGTGAACCTCCAAAAAAGTTAGTTGGAGATGCTAATTTTCAAGCACATGCTACTGGCAAGCCCATGCAAAATGAGTCAACATGCTGAATCATGTGAATGGCAGTCATGTGACTTGATACCAATAGCTTTGCCTTGTCTGCCACGCTGCTACAGTGTGGAATTCTAGAGAGATATTAAATTAACCAGTTCAGATAGCATATTGGAAAGCAGGACCTGAAAGCTTGGAAAGGCCAGGAATTTTCCACTTTCAGTCCATTATATACATATCCTATCAGCCCTTTCCAGCTGTGATTGGTTGATGGGATCATGATGTTATCCCCTCTTCAGCTGAGATAATTGGTTGTGATATCTTCCTTTCCAGCTGTGATGGGTGGAGCCCGAAAGCCCTACCCCCCAAACATGGTACTGGTTAACATAATACTTAAATTAACATGACTTTTACTTAAACTTGGTCATTATTACAAAGGGCCTAGAAAATTTTCAAAAAATCCATTTAATAAAAGAAAAAATTATCAATCAAAAAAGAGAGAACTAAACAATTCTATAATAAATCTGAGGTATTATACAATTGAAATAGTTTGTCCACTTTTGATCCTCATTTTCCTTTATAGTCTCTAAGTCTCACCTAAAAGAGCACTGTATCTAAGGAAAGTTCACTTTTTATGTGTGAATTTCCTTTCTTAGAACTCCACCCTGGCCACACATCTAGATTGGAATTTTCAAACTCATGAATAAAATCTTGTGGCTCCAAAGTGACCATTTCATGATATATTTGGAATCATGTGGTCTAAACATGCAATTTTATTAATCACTAGATAGGAGATAATTTATCTAGTGCAAACCTCAGAGTTCTGAAAATGGCAGGAAAGTTCTAGTTGTGGTTTGAATAGTATATATATTCCATGGCTCACAAGGTCATGTATTGAACCTGCCATCAGTGGTTCCTGGTTGCCTGTTCTCTGCTGAAAGACAGAGATTACCAAGCACCACAGCAAGATGTGGCACTTCCAAAGTTCACATCCACAAAGACAAGTACTAGTAGCACCATTAATGTTGTAACTTTTCTCTTCCATTTCCTGCTCTACTAGTGTTTTGGGATGCTGAGAGTGTGCTAATATCTGAAGATCTTTGGCAACTCATCAAAATCTGTTTTGAGAACAGAAGGATCTTGCTGACACATTTTGCTTTAATTATCTTGTTGTTGCCGGTAGATGTCTCACGTTGTGGGCGAGGTAACCCTGTTACCTACTTTGAGTTTGGTTTGGCAACAACCCTTCCATCTAGTCAAGGCAAATGAACGATATTATAAATTCAAATAAATATATAGTGAAAACTATTTATGAGGGAATAGCTAATTATTGGGTGGTTATGGTACAGTGTAACGATTGGATAATTTTGATTGTATTTAGGAGTTTTGAGTTAAGATTAGGGATAAGGAGCATGGACAGGGTTACCAGTTATTTTCATGGGTAAACTGCAAAAATAAACACACAAAAATCAATAACCTTCCCAGCTAGATAAAAATAATGATATGACTTAGGTAGGGATTTAGTATTAAAATTGATGCAGTAAACACTTAGCTAAACTCTCAGCTGATAGCCATCTGGTTGCATGCAGCAAGCATGAAATGGGAAAACAAAACAGTCACTATAACATTTGGAGTGAAATCTTTGCAAAGGAAAAGCTAAAATGAGAACTATAGTTAACCATTGAAGTACCGTAAAATAGGGTTACTTTGACCGGCGGGGTAACTTTGACCACTTTTCGTTTTTTTTAACAAAAACCCCCAAAACTCAAAAACGATTTGACATAGAAAAATTTTGTCAATGGCCATCAAAGGCCTAATACTGAGGCTACGTAACACAATAGAAAGATTTAAAAAGTTTGCATATCTAATAAGTTGAAAAATTAATAATGTGACCCATGAAAAAGAGCTACCGTATTATTTAAAGCCTGTCAGAGTACCCCCTCCAATTTTTTTATTTTTTGGTAAAATAACTCCAGGTTTTGATGCATTGTAGTAGAACTCTTCTAGTTACATACGCAAAAGAAAAATTTTAGGAAAGTGTCATAGTTTGCAAATGGGGGGCGCCACCCCCAAATGGGGGAACTTTGACCACCTAATGGCAGCCATGATGGGGTATCATTGACCGGCTTGGAAATTAAGTTAAAATTACCATAGGTACCTATATAACATATTTTATATTTGATACACCTATTAATGTTTTTTTTCTTCATGTTTCAGACTCTACAGAGTCTTATTTATGGTAATTTTTACTTAATTTCCAAACCGGTCAATGTTGCCCCGTCACGGCTGCCATTAGGTGTTCACATTTCGCCCATCAGGGGACGGTGCCCCCCATTTGCAAACTATGACACTTTCCTAAAATTTGTCTTTTGCATATGTAACTAGAAGAGTTCTACTACAATGCACCAAAACCTGGAGTTATTTTACCAAAAAATAAAATTGATTTTACCACCCGGTCAAAGAAACCCCAGGAGCTGGGGTAACAAAGACCATCACTTTTTTTGAAGTTACATCAAAACTATGAAAGGCAGGAGCCAGCAATTTATGGTGAGTAAAGCTAGAGTATAGACCTGTATTTTGCATGTTTCAATTTAAGTTTAAGTTATCTAGTAAAAAAATGGCATCATTTTGAAAAAAAAGTGGTCAAAGTTACCCCATTTTACGGTACCTACTTTGTAAAAGATGTAAAGTTTCAAAATAAATAAAAGCAAAGCACTCAAGAACAACTTGCAAGCAAATGACAGTAGAATTGAGAATTGCAAAAAAAAACATTTAATGATAAGTAAAGCGCAAACAAAGCTAATTAATCAGTTTAGCAGGTGGTAAAATTATTGACACAAAAACATCTTTGCAATTGAAAGGATCAAACTAATGTCACCAACAATTTGTGGCAGTTCCACTTAGAGACTCATAAATTTAGGGATCTGCAACTGCTCTTGCATGGTCCCCCCAATCACTATCATAATAATTAGCCAAGTTGTCATAAATACAATGAATTTACAGGCTGAAAAGAACAGAAGGAAAACATACATTCAACAACAATTACTAAGTAAATCGTATATAGAGAGCAGATGGTTGGGTAAAAGTATGAGTAGATGCCTTCCGGCAACAATTGTTACCTGTATTTGTGACAATAATTGAATATTTAGGCTATAAATAATCATCAATAGTAAGGACTCCATGAACACTTAGGCCTAAATGGATGATCTTGGCAACACAATTTCAAAACTCTGAATAGTATCTTATAATCAGTATTTGCATGGTGAACACAAGCTCAAATGATGGCTTTCAATTTTTAGTTTATTACACAAAATGAATAAATATATTTTTGGTATGTATTGCAAATTTATTTTCAATGCCTAGTGGATTGAGTGCAATGAAAAACTGGCAACTTGTGTGTCATTAATTGTAATAATTTTTCACTATTTCAGTTCCCTCCATACCTATAATTTATCAATGGAAAATATTACAAATAAATAATAATCATGATTACATTACAAAAAACATTTTTATATGTGTCAATGGCTAGCTTTGTTTTGTTTATTATGTACTTCATCAGCTTATCTCAAAATTCTGTGCCGCATCAAAGACTGTTTACAGAGCAAGGAGCACTTTCTTATTCATCCTGGCCTCACTTCAGATCTAAATCAAACAATGATCAGGTATGGTTTTATTAAGAAAAATCAACTAAACAATTTGCCAAATGTAAATATTGCAGCTCCAAAAACAACAGAAAATTATCATTTGCATCTCGTAGTGTATATCAATATTTTCTGGTCTATTAATTAAAAATTATTTAGCTTGACTGATATTGAAATTACTTGAATGATATTCTATTTTGAGTTTTTTATTATAAGGTAAATTTTAAACTTCATATTAAATTACTATTATATATATATTGTTAAAATTAGATGTTAAATTTGATTGTGTTGACCTTAAGGATAGCATGTTCACACATTCTATATAATTCAACTTTCATGCTATAATACAGCTTAAAACAGGCTATTTTAGTATAAATTCATGCTTACATGGCATATATGTATGAAGATGCAAAGGTGTTTTTCTATCTCACATGCCTATCAGTTTGTTTAGAGAGAAGTAGCAGTTGGGCATTTGCTGGAGTAAGGATACTTCTGTGACATAACGGCAAAATTTGAGTAGTAGATTTTTCAAATGTTATTTTTCTTATTTTAGGTAGGTACCTAGATGTTGCATTGGGGATATGAACAAGTAAAATACATGTGTTATAATTTTTTCCTTTCATAGCTTCAAAAGTTGAATTTGTGCCAGTCTCATACTTTCTCTCATTTTTCACATCCACTCTGAACATCAATTTTTTCTCTCAATCATGCAGGCAGTTTCTCCTGTGAATAACTGCACAAATATTGTTACCTATTCTTTCTTATTAAAATTTTTAAATATAATTATTAATTTAAGTACATGTGTATTTCATTTTTATCACAGATTTTCAATAACTTGGGATAAAAGGCAAATTATGTACCTATTTCTTAAGCTCCCTGCAGCGAGCCTAATAATTCATTTAATTTTAATTCCAGGCTCTATACCACAATTGTTGGAGTATGGATGTCAAGCTAGATGTTCATGACATGTTAGTGCATCAGCTGTCCAAACTTCCCACCTCAAAAGTTGAATCATGCCGTGACTTAGATCTTCTTATCAAGGTTGGTGTGAGAATTGCACCAAACTTAATTTGATTTATGATTGCATTTTGCCTGCATATTTTTTAAACTCATCATGTATAGGGAATCAAGTGAGAAAAAGTTATAAATTGTGCTTTACAAATTCAATTTGATTATTTTAATGTGCCCCTAGACCTGCCAAAACAAATAAGTTGATCCTTATTTGTTTCTCTGCCCAGCCACATGTCTCATTTCTAACAGTGTAGATATGAGACACATGTTCCGCAATATAAGATTCAATATTTAGAAACTAGATAATTGGATTACCTTTAGTTTCTTTGATCAAGGATGTACCATATTTGTTAGCTAAAGAGTATGTCAACATTGTTGTCAGAAAATTGTTAACTCTGAAATTTTATGTACTACCTATATTTTTTTATATATATTTCGTCTAATTGTTGTGTAATGTCTGGTGTTCATGAATGGAATTTGTACAATATAAATTTATTGTATTTTCATATCCAGAGCGTTTATAGCATCAACAGCAGATCATCAACAAGGCTGGAACTTCCTCCAATCTTTGCTGCTCAAGTCAAGTCTTGGCTTGGTAACAGTGACAAGCTCCTCCATAAGTTACATCAACAGGTCAATCTTGTCAAATATAAACATTTTAATGAAAAAATTAAATGATTCTTTATAATTTGTATTTATATTTGCTAATGCTGCATTCAATCTGTTGTGGAAGATGTAATGGTCATTGTATATGAATTCTTAGTATAATTTTGAGCAGGAAGTAATCCACGTGTCACAGCATATGACAGGCGAGCATGTTGTCTACAACCCTGTCAGGAGCCACCGTCCAATGCCTCATACTGCTGAATCTGGACAAATGCTGGTTGACAGACTGGCATTGGAAACACAAGTTGCTTGTGACTTCTGCAATGTTGATACCAGAACTGCCTTTGATGGTTTTGCCAGGTGATAGTGTGTATTATTGAATTGATGAATTTTTGCATTTTCACCTTTTCATCAGCACCGTAGCCATATAATGCTCATCCCCCATTATAAAACATTTCCTACAAATGAAGAGCCTCTGTTGACTTTTCCATTGGAACACAATTATTAATCATTATCATTATAAGTGTATATGAAGCAACATGTAGTTCAAATCCAAATTCATGTGCCATCTCATCTAAATAAATCCTCAAAAGATAGAACTCATTATTCTGTTAGAAGCAAGTTTAAGTAATATGTATTGAGGCCAAATACATTCCCCTTTATTTCTTATCCATAACTCATCTTGTGTTGACAGACATGAAACAAACTCAAGTGTACGCGTGAGTAACACTTTTAAGATGGAGCGCTGGCACTTGATGGTGGTGACCAAGTCTCCCCATCACCATCCCACCAAGATGTCACGCTCTCTCTACACGGCATTTGTCAGTGATGCCGTCCTATTGGCTCGCGAGATCATGGCTACTGAACTTAACATGAGGTCAGAGCTTTGATCTTGCCCTGGCAGTTTGAAATTTTAGCACCCCACCATTTACATACAGCAGGTCAGTCTACTGTGTCATAATTTCGATTTTATTTCTCACATCTGAATGATTTTCCATGTTAAATGAATGACAGGCTGTACTTTAATCGTCACATTCTTGAGCAGTTGAGCTTAAATTATGTCTGTTGAAATGTCAGTCGAGCTGCATCCTAAAATATTTGGAAGTTTAATAGGTATTATAACCACTATTACTTCTGGCAAACAAATTTGCTAAACGAATGAGAATTGATCACCCCTTTTCCGCCCTTAATTGGCAAATGCATGACTGTCCCAACAATTGAGATATCTGCTGTCATATTTATTTGTATTCACCAGTATCGTTTGTTCAATGTTACTCACCATAAGCCACGCATTTTCCTGCATATGTGTTGTAATTGGCGACTGTGTATGCAGTCATCCTCACCTTGCATGGGACACGCTACCAAAAGCGGGAGCGTCGCAGATGCACCCACACATCCACGTGCTGGCCGCTCCTCTCCGCTACTATGGCTTCACAGAGCTCCTCAGGTGACATAGGGCCTTCTCATTTGACTTAGAGACGCCTCAGGTATCTGAGTTCTGCTCATGTAACTTTTGAGACTTTGGAGGTCTCTCAGGTTCTGCTCTTGTAACTCAGGTGCTTCTGAGGTTCTCAATTGCACCAACGCGAGCCAACACTTATATTTTTACAGGAATAATTCTGTAAATGCATCTAATTATTAAACTACTAATTTATGCACACTAAAGAGCTTTTATGCTCGCCAAGTGTTCTGCCCTGTGGAATTATTGCTAAAAAAATTTTTTTAAATCAATTGAAACTGGTTTTCACTCGGAGTTTCATTAAATTATGAATTTTTAAAATTTGTGTGGGTTATGGAACATATTTATATGCCGCAATGTTTGTATCCGTGCCTATGGTCAATTCAGTTTCTATCTCTCCCTATTTTCCCTATCTTGATTCATTAATCCTAATCCATGTCAACAAGTATTAAAAACGTCATTTTCCAATTGTTTTGCATTTTCACTTTGTTTCTCTAACATGACAGCAGTTCCTCAATTCTTCCCGTGTTGTTCAGTCAATAATGGAGTATTTCTTACAGAGAAGCCGGGGAGGTCCACTACCGCAGCACAGGCCGTAACCTCTTCAACTCGATGCTTGAGGTTCACTGGTCCCTCAACCTCACAGCTTCCTACGGCGACGCCACAGCCCTGGCAATGCTGGTCAGACTAGACTAAGATTGAAGAAATCAACTGCGAAATGTATGAGGAAATCTCATCCATTGATTGTCAGTATATCCGTAAAAAGTGGAATATAATAATACAATACAATAACAGAAAAACATTCGCTCTGTTTTTAATAAGAATTAATAATAATAGTGCAACTCGTCCTTTGTTTTCGAACGTGTAGCTTTGATGTAAGCATATTTGAAGTAATTTTGACCTGCTCATTAGTGTGTTAGCATAGAAGGATTAAGTCTAACAAGACCGACACTTCGGTTTCAAGTTCTTGTTGATTTTGAATGGTGGTTATTGAGAAATCAAAAAACTTTCTCATAAACCACCTATCAAATCAACAACGTGCTTCTTTTTAACTTTATTATTTATCTTGATAACTTGTTATCCAGTCAGGCAAAGGCGACCTGGAGGTCATGGTTCTCAGTGAAGAACCTGGCAATGACCTCTACAGTCTCATGTACTTCGTAACCAAAGCCTACCACGACTCTTTCGAGCAGTATTGCTACTCGTAAGTCCCATTATATACTTAGCAGCAGTACCAGCCATTATACCTACTATTCTTAAACACAACTTCTTCCAGCAGAACCACTACTTGCAAGCCTCAGTATTTCATTCAGAAACCGTTCAATGCAACGAGCGTTCCTACCTTGTGTTCAGAATATTTAAATCTGCGAACCTTTCAAAAGAAATTTTAAACCTTTTCAACCACAGAGTTCAACCTTTCTTCGCCTTGCAATTCCCTAGTATGTAGCCTGTCAATAAAACGATAGCTATTTGATGTGACCGATCAAGTCTTGTGAATTTTTTAACTCGATTGATTCATGACAATTCATGAGATCAGCGTTACCCAACCAAATCAAATGGATTCACGCTTCTGGTTCAGGTGTCCTTTCAAGCTTCGGTGTTTCAGGTGTTATTTCAAATGTTAGGGATGCGAGTTCTTTAGTTAATTTAAGAGTCACTTTCCTCGAGTATCTTTTCTCACTTGTCTTCTCCAGCCTGGTCATGTCGTGGCACGGCGACAAGAAGAGCAACGTTGGAGTAATGCCCGCCATGGCCCGCATTATGAGTCGCGGTGACTGCAGCTCTCCAAGAGCTGACTACTCTTCGTTTGAAATTTATCAGGTGTGTTTAAGTGTTGTCCTATTTTCATACTTCATTTCCCTTTATTCTTCCACAAATTATACCAAGGATAAATAATTTGCCGTATGACAGTCGATACTCTAATATTATTTAAAATATTCATTTACTCAGATTTTATAATGATTTTCTTGTAATGCATTCTGACACACACAGGCCGTCTACCGCCAGCACGACCCGTGGGAGGTCATCAACGCTGTTCGCTTAGCTATCAAGCAATATTCCTGAGCACGACACGCCTCTCCTGGGGCTGTACCATCAAAAATAGTTATGAGTTCGTAACTTCGTCAGCCAATCACCGACAGCCGTACAAACTAAACCCACCAATCACATCATAAATTGGCTGCTACGTGTACTTGAGCAGCTTTTAAAATTACGGCCCTTGGACGTTCGAGTTTTTCTGCGCCATGTTTGTGTTGGAAGGCCGTTGGACTCTTGCTTGTAATTCTGATCTCTATACAATACGGCTTCCGCCCCCTCAGAGGCACTACGGAATCAAATCGCCATAAACCGAGCCGGTCAGAGGACCATGGCCCGCGGCTTATCCTTTTCAAGCGAGAAAACCGTGGCCATGCACTTTAAAAGAAATCGCTCTCAGGAACAACTCCCTCCATTGTTTTTACCATGCACTCATATTACCGTATCCCCCGTAGCTAAATTCCTTGGCATGACATGGGACTGCAGGCTCTCTTGGAGGCCCCACCTGCGGGCTTTGAAGGGCAGCTGCCTCCGGAGGATGAACCTCATGAAGAACTTGTCCGGACAGTCTTGGGGATCGGATAGGCTGACCCTGCTTCGCCTCTATGGAGCCATTATCAGAACAAAGATGGACTATGGATGCAACATCTACCAACACGCAAGAAAACATGACTTTACTCCACCCGGTACACAACGCCGCCATCCGGACATCTACCGGAGCATTTAGAACATCCCCCACTATTAGCCTCTACGCAGAAAACGGCGAACCTCCACTCTTATCTCTGCCGAATACAGCTCACACTACAGATGATAGCCCGCCTCAAGCAATTACCTCTATCCCCAACATGGCGCAGCGTAATAACTGAAGACTGACCAAACATTTTTCCGTACAATATCCCGTCATCCGAAGACTACGAAACCCTGCTTGCAACAACGCAAGCTCATAAACTAGAAGTCATACCAGTTACGTTTGAGGTTACCCCTACATGGCGCATCCCCATCAACACATTCTGCCCGGACCAAAACAGCCCACTGAAACAAAGGACACACCCAACCGAGATGAGAAACATCTTTCTCAACCATGCATCTACAAAGCATGCAAACTCTACGCATATTTACACCGACGGCTCTAAGACGAACGGCGTAGTGGGATGTGCAGCTGCGGCCGGCGCGGCGGCGGTGTCAAGACGACTCAGTTCAAGCTCGTCAATCTTCACCGCTGAGCTCGTTGGTGTCAGCTGTGCCATTAACCTCATGGATGAACTGCCCGGAGACGACTTTATCACATTTAGACTCCAAAAGTGTGGTGCAGGCTCTGAGAGTTTGCAATAGCAGGCACACCATCGTCTGGGAGATCCTAACCGGGCTGGTGCGCCTGGCGGGGGCGGGGAGATCGGTGAGCTGCTGCTGGGTGCCCGGGCACATGGGGGTGCGAGGCAACGAGAGGGCGGATGAGGCGGCGGTAAACGCCGCCTCTTCGGACCAGGCGATCTATAGTGAGCAGGTCCCTTGCCGGGACCACTACCCTCTCATCAAGGCAAGCATCCGCCATATCTGGCAGGAACAGTGGCTGAACGTGAGAGAGAACAAACTTAGAACAATTAAGGACTGGGTACAAGCGTGGAGTTCATCATACCAGAAATCCCGTAAAATTGAGGTAGCGCTGTGCAGACTAAGGATCGGCCACACGCGCCTCACTCACAGCTACCTGATCGAACGCCGTCCAATGCCGTATTGCAATGATTGTTTGGTACCCCTGACGGTCTTGCATGTCATGGCGGAATGCCCGAGCCACAGAGATACTCGGCAAAACTACTACCCCAACACTGCTGCTCTCAGCCCAAATGAAATGCTGTCTAGGATGCTGAGGGAAGTTCCCCGAAGCATCTTTAAAACTGACAACCTTAGACAATATCTAATAGAGTGTAACCTACTGCCTGATATCTAGCACGGCACCATGACATAGGTCAGAAAAGACCCACACCTTTGACAAAACACCACATTCGTGTCAGCACATTCCTGATTGAGATGAAGCGACAGAAGACGGATCGAACCTGCGCCTTAGAAATAGAGAAGCATACCTAAGACCAGATGGATCAAGCTGCAAGCCTAAAACCAACGAAGAAACCTGAACCTGCGAAACCGAAAACTGCACCTACGGCGCGAAATAGACGAAGTTGATCTGAAGCGCTAGAAATCTTCCCCCCCCTACTACTACTACTAGAGCTTGTAACTTTTAATACCTCTAATGAAGTAGGGCCATACAGAACATTCTGACTGGTAACACAACCACGAAGTTAGTTCCTGCTTTCGTGATCTACGTAGTCTGAATGCAATTTAGTCACAATATACTTGCATGTTTTACAGCATATATATAATCCATAATCTGAATGCAATTTAGTCACAATTTACTTGCATGTTTTACAGCATATATATAATCCATAATCTAAATGTAATTTAGTCACAATTTACTTGCATGTTTTACAGCATATGTATAATCCGTTCCTTTATACCTCGTGAAATGATTCTAATGAAAACCAAAGAAATAACTTGGTATGTTTGTGAGGCTTTGTAAATATGGAGCTGGTACACAAAGCACAATGAATCTTGCATTCATCATTCCATATCCCTAGCTGGGTGCCTTACATAGTTTTTATGTGTGTGATTTTATAGTCAGATCTCTTACTCTAGTCAATCAGAAACTTTTCATCTATTTGGTCAACTTTTTTATTAGCTAAATATAAATCGAAATGTAAACAGCCGCTGCACACCGAATATTTCGACAATCCATTTTAGTTGTCATTCTATTTCCAAGCAGGAAATCGATTCTGACGTGAGTATGTCGAATGCAAGATTATTTTTTTGTCACAAATTAGGTTGCTCAACAGTTATAAGCCAATTTTGTTACCTACACATGTCTAGATTGTTGCATATTCGCAAAATATAATTTTCAACAACCAGTTCCTAGCGGCTGAGCTTTTGACATTTAAAAGCAAATGGCATTGAAAGGCAAAATGGTACTGAATATACACGAAAGCCAAGACCATTCTTGTCAACATATTCGAATAATAGTTGCATTAGCTGATGAGTTGGTTATGGTTAGTTAATTTACGTTAGATATAATTGTTTTTCTTTTAGGGGGAGGAAATGAAGTAAGGTAACGGGTCACATTCGCAAATAAATCACATCTACGGGTACAGCAGTAATAATTTCAATAATCGAATGTGAAAGTAAATAGAGGGTTAGGAACAAGCATATTTGGTTGGCCGCTGAACCACTCTTCCGCACTTGAAGTAAAGAGTTCATCCAAATAAACGTTATTAATGGTGCTAGGCATTGTTAAGTCTTCGTACTGTCTTTCACAGAAGTACAAAACTCCATTATTCATTAAGTATTGGAAGGATTCTTTCTGAATTATATTCGTGTGCATAATAGGTTTATTCAAGTTTTAATCTACACAATTCGAAATGTATCAAGGTATCTATTTTTACATTTGTATCTCCTGTAGCAAGAAAAACATATCTCCGTGTTAAGATTTTGGTAGGCTATCTAACATTTACGTTTTTGATTGTGTATCTAATTCAGATGCCATTTCCAAGTCTACAATATATTGTTTACAGACTTTCAATAACTTTTCCTTCGCACAGGCAAAATCGGTTTCAGTAACTTTATTAGCAGTAAAATTAGCAAGTGAACGTGGGTTGGTACCGCCAATTACGCTGCCTTGAGGGAAGCTGCTCTGCAGCGGCTGTAGCCAGTCTTGAGCACTACCTCCGGCTGCGATGGTGGCCTACAAAGAAAAGGCAGTTAAAAATATGCTTTAGCAATTGAGTGCAAAGACTGAAAGAGCCATAACGTCACATTCAAACGATGCGATCGGTTGGACCAGTTGCCTGGTCTGTGCCTTATTGGCAACGCAAGTGACTTGGATGCGGGGCCAGTTATGGATTCCAACAAATTTTTATAGCATCTATTGATGTAATTGGCAGAATTTATTCACTTTTTTCTGCAATCACTAATAGGAGATCTCAACGTAATCACCGCCAGCCATAAACAGCTACGGCGGGGGGGGGGGGGTGTGAAAGATGGGGGTTAGTTTAGTAGCTAAATAGTTACTAATAGCTATTCAGCATTCCCGCGCCAGAAGCCACAAATATACGTCACCAAACGGGTGGGTGGAGAGTCTCAAATGGACTTATACGCTCAAGCTAGCAAGAAAAATGCACTGGCAGCATCTCAAAGAGACGAAGTGGCAAGGAGAGACTGGTGAAAAGAAACAGACACCAAGAGGTCGCTTACACGAGACGTCGGCCACCCATACGAGAGACAGAGAAGAGAAATGAAAGGAATCCTGCCTTCGCGATAGCTTTTCTGACGAGCATAGACACTCACGCCAGATAACCCCTCCTGAGAAACTAGCTGCAAGGATATTTTAGAACCCGCTAAGATCGATAATTGCTAGGATTGACAGTGAGCGAACACAGTTTAGCTTACCTCGCAGATGAGAGCCCGAGCCTTGACGCAGTCCCTGATGTGCAATATCAGGAGAGCATTGCGTCCCTTAAAGAGGCTAAACGCTGCTTTCAAAACTTTCTTGTTAGCGCCGTGCGAACTGGAAATTGTGTGAACAACAGGACCCGATGGCAGACTTTCCTTTAGCTTCGTCAGCTCGTCTATCATCTGTCAAGGATTAATACGAGAATGAACAATAAAACGGAAAGGAGAACAAATGTGGCACACAGAGAGAATCATAGGAAGCATAACATTACATGCAATCAATAATGTGTGTGTCAAATGTTATTTGAATTTATAAAAGAAAAATGTGAGGTAACTGCATGGTTGTTGCCAGCCTCAAATTCGTATGGTACTTTAAAGTTTAAATTTTTCTAAGATTTCATCTTCTAAATCTGGACTTGTGGTCGAAAGCGTGGCGTTACTGACATGTGGCCAATATAGTTAGTTAGTTAGTTAGTTTAGTGACCCTATGATTACTAACGCTTCAGCTGCTAAGCTATCTCGCGCCGAATGTCACGTTAGGCATTATGGGCTAAAGAACATATTGCATCACATGTATTCAGCGTTGACCAGATCATATACAGTCGAACATGTATATTGCTCTCAGGTACTCTACGAGGCGGTCAACATTATAGCTACCGTGTTCTGGTTGGGCCAAAATATTTTTCAGGCGTGTGTCGGGGTCGTTTTGGCTTAGATGGGGGAAAAATTGCCGTCGGGCCACACCAAATGATGGGCACTCACAGAGAACGTGGATGATGGTTTGGGGCACTAAGCAATCCATGCAATAAGGTGCAGGCGTGCGTTCCATTAGATGGCCATGGGTGATTCTAGTGTGTCCAATGCGGAGGCGGGTGAGGCATACCTCCACCCGGCGCACGCGGTGCGACGAGGAAGGCCAAGGCCTCACACTATCCTTAATTTTCCGGAGTTTGTTATCTTCCAGGCGTGTCCACTGTCCCTGCCACTCGTCCAGCAGCTTCCTGCGGAAGATGGGGTAATGGTCCCGGTGGGGGACTTCATCATTCCAGGGTGGTATCTCTTCAGCCGCTGCGCGGCGTGAAAGTTCATCCGCGGCCTCGTTGCCCGTTATCTTCACATGACCGGGGACCCAGCAGAATGTAATTGTCTTTTGGCGCGTGTGGAGTCGGATAAGCCATCTATGTATGGTGGTTACCAGGGGATGCGGTGAGTTATAACATAAAATCGTCTGAATTGCACTCAGGGAGTCGCTGAATATGCAGATCTCCATGTTTGTGCTCTCCCTTGCAATTGCGATGGCACACAGGATGCCGTATAGTTCTGCAGTAAATATTGAGGAGTAGCTATGCAGTCTCAGCGAGCTCCTCGCAGCGTCGCTAACCGCTGCGCATCCAANGGTCTGTACAGTAAGATGCAGGCGTGCACAGATCTCGCGAGCTCGAGAGCCAAATGTCTCGCTCGCTCGGCGGGCACCCATGGGCCATTGGTGTGTAATGCTCAGGTAGGAGGGGGAGTTGGGTAGCTGTTGGGCTCTTGCAAAGTACTGTAGCATAAGAAGGTCTCTCCTTGCACTGAGTGGGAATTCTCCACTCTCCGCGTAAAGGCTGAGGACAGGTGAAGACCGGAACGCCCCAGTACACAGTCGGATAGCGCTATTGTGGACAGGGTCCAGCAGGTGAAGGGCTGAGGCTTTTGCTGAGGAAAAGACGATGGAGCCGTAGTCCATCTTAGATCGAATCAGCGAGCGGTATACTCGTAACAGAGTGCACCAGTCGGCGCACCAGATAAAATGTGACAAGCACCTCAAAACCGAGAGGGCATGGATGCAAGTTTGCTTGAGCTGTCGGATGTGAGGTATCCAGCTGAGGCGCGAGTCCAAGACCACGCCGAGGAAACGGGTGGATTGCACGAAGGAAATCGCATGGTTTGCAAGGTTCAGGCTAGGCTCAGCCATATTGCGGGTATGATGAAAGTTGATTGCTACGGTTTTCGTTGGGGAGAAGGTGAAGCCGTTTTTGGTGCACCACTTGCACAGGGACCACTTTGGTGCACCACTTGCACGCTGTTCTGAGACGACATGGGCAATGCGGGTGGTAAAACATCGTCGCTGGAGAAAATTTGAGATAAAGAAGGCCATGTGTCCACGAATGCCGCACTCATGTATGGCGCGAAGGATGCCAAAGCGCCAGGTAGTGTCGTAGGCTTTTTCGAGGTCGAAAAATACACCGACGAGGTGCTACTTTTCTCGGTACGCAGAGAAGACATCTGTAGTGAAGCGAACTAGAGCATCTGTGGTTGAGCGGGCTCGGCGAAAACCAAACTGCTCTGGTGACAAGTGCTCTCCATGTTCCAAATAGTTCGTCAATCTCACATTGATGATGCGTTCCAACAGCTTGCACTGGCAGCTAGTAAGTGCGATCGGTCGGTAACTGGTAGTCTCCGATGGCGACTTTCCCGGTTTCAGGAAGGCAAGAGTTACGGCTTGCCGCCACGAATCAGGGAACGAATGGTCAATCCAGATTTTGTTGTAGATATGTAGGAGCCACTCCAGGCTTGTTGCATGTAGGTGTTCAATCATCTGATAGGTGACCTGGTCGGCTCCTGGAGCTGTTCGACGGGATTGCTTCAGCATACCTTTGACCTCGGTCATGGTGATAGGGTCATTATACGGTTGGGTGTCGCTTGTTGAGAAATCCAGGGGGTGTGCCTCCATTCTATTGCGGTGCTGGCGAAAGGCTGGCGTGTGACGGTCCCGGCTACTCACCGAAGCGAAGTGGTCAGCGATGAGTTCAGCACATGCACATGGTTCTGAGACGGGTCCTCCATTGTGAACCAGGAATGGGGAGGGCTGCGGGCTGTAGCGCCCAGACATTTTTTTGATTCTGTTCCACACTTTTGATGGGGTGGTGTCCGAATTGATTCCCGACACATGGCGTCGCCAGGAGATCGAGCGGGCGTCCTTCTTCACCTTCCGCGCCAGCGCCCGAGCTCGGCTGAATGCGATTTTATCAGCCACTAGGCCAGATCTTTGGAACATTTTTTGACTCACTGCCCAGAGAATGGGCTAGTTGCCGGTTGGCCTGGACTACATCAATGGCAGCCAGGTTCTCACCAGTCGTCGATGAGACGCGGAAGAAATGAGGGTAGTCTTGGATGCGGGCTTCTAGGGATGGCTGCATTTGCTTCCATGTCCCTTGGTGTCTAGATTTCTTGTTTTGCCCGGCTCTGCCAGGCCCAGGGGCCTGGGGGAGTGGGACAAACGGCTCCAGCGTCGAGATCAACGTGGAGGTAGGTGAGGTCAAGGTTGGTTCCGTAGTGAGGGTCCGGGTCGTTTCCGTTGTCGGGGTATCAGGTACGAGAGGCGCATTCAAAGAGGTCATTTTCCTGGTCCGGGTTGTTTGGTTCGTCCGACGCGCTGAGCAGGCACCCGTGTATCTGCCTCCAACAAGGGGATCCCTGGTGTCAAGCACACGTAGTCTTGACGGGAACACTCGTACGCTCGGATGTAGCTTTGGTTGTCATGGGCGCAGCAGGTTGTGCGCTCGACTAACGTTGCAAGACGGGCGCCACTCCGTCTGCGCGGTGTGTAAGCAGCCCCCCGCCTGCCCAGGAGTCCCGCAGCTAACCCTTGCCACGCATGACTATTGAAGCTAGCGGGTCGGGTCTAGGTCCCCGCCAGGGTTCGTTAATCCAGCGAAAGGTCTTTGCATATCCATAAGAGAACCAGGTCGTTACCAGAAAGGCGTTTTGCCATCTCTGTTAGTCTGGACCTCCACCCGAGCCACTCGGCCGTGATTGATGGCACGGGGGGGTAACAAACAAGAGATATCAACGTGGATTGCGAGTAGATGTTATTAAAACAACGCTTAATCAACATTATATTGACATAAGTTGTCTGGTGAGTTACATATATAGAATATATACAATACAACTTTATCTTACCGAGGTCCGAAGTATCCAAGAACTTCAAATGGTTTGAGGAATCAGTGAAAGGCCATATTAACTGTTCAGTGTCATACTGTTGTTCATCATCTTGCTGATCCTTTATTGAAACACCATTTATTTCTGCCAGTATCAGGGTATTATCAGCAGTGCCTGATGACTTATCAGGAGCGTGGTCACGTGCGATACCTTGCAGAGGCCCGAACAGCGTGTGTAGCTGCAGCCGACGCTTGCAGAATACGCCGTAACATTCTGGAATATGATGGCAAACTGACGTAAAAACGTTAAAACTGACGTAAAAACGTTAAAACTGACGTAAAAACGTTAAAACGGACGTAAAAACGTTAAAACTAGCGCGAGACGGTGATCGACGGCGTGCTGGCGCCGTCGAGGGTTTGGAGGAGGATGATGAGGGTGGTGTTCCTGCCAGTACGGGAGGAGGAAGGGAGGTATCGACTTGGTCCGCTTGGGTCATAGCATTAGAGCAGGTCGAAGTTCTGGACTCCTGGGCTTCGTCAGTTTGAGGCACACGTGGTGGCTCCAATGTTGGGGTGGCCGCAACAACGTCGCGGCTTCGTTCGGTGGTCCGTCTCGAATCCAGCACGCGATCAGGACCTTGGTGCTTGCGGAGGATGGATGCGTAGGTGGTGCCTGGTCGTATAACTAGAGCACTCGCCTGACGCTTGGCGTCTCTGTACATTAGTTTTTGTTTGATTTGAATTGCTAAAGTTTATTGTTCAAGTCTATAATGGGGGCAGTTAGTTGAGGATGCCTCATGTGGTTCACCACAGTGGGGGCATTTCGCCGGGCGGAGGCACGGCAGCTCGTGTGCTTCTTCAGAGCATCTGGGGCAAATAGCAGTGGTTGATCTACAGGTTTTGGCTCCATGGTTGAAGCGCTGGCACTTATAGCATCGGCGTAGGCGAGGGATGTACTCTCTCACGGAGCATCGGTGCCACCCAATCTTTACCTCAGTAGGGAGCTTGCATGTTGCAAATGTGAGTACATATAATGGTAGGTCCACTAGGGCTCCATGCATCTTCTTTTTCATTTGATAGATCGATTTAACCTTATAGTGACTAAGATGCTCTTGCAAATTTTCGACAGTACCTATACTTGGGCTCATTGCGGTAATAAATAGTTCCTTTGGTTTCATTTAGTGTACCGTGTGGCTCTACGGTGACAGAACAACCTGCCAGTGTCTTGATGTTAAGTATTGAGTCGCTCTGAGTTCTGTTTTGTATTTCTACTATGAGTGCTCCGTCTCGGGTTTCGTGCACATTTTTTGGCTCACTGCCCAGAGAATGGACTAGTTGCCGGTTGGCTTGGACTACATCAATGGCAGCCAAGTTCTCACCAGTCGTCGATGAGACGCGGAAGAAATGAGGGTAGTCTTGGATGCGGGCTTCTAGAGTTGGCTGCATTTGCTTCCATGTTCCTTGGTGTCTAGATTTCTTGTTTTGCCCGGCTCTGCCAGGCCCAGGGACCTGGGGGCGTGGGACAAACGGCTCCAGCGTCGAGATCAACGTGGAGGTAGGTGAGGTCAAGGTTGGTTCCGTAGCGAGAGTCCGGGTCGTTTCCGTTGTCGGGGTATCAGGTGCGAGAGGCGCATTCAAAGAGGTCATTTTCCTGGTCCGGGTTGTTTGATTCATCCGACGCGCTGAGCAAGCACCCGTGTATCTGCCTCCAACAAGGGGATCCCTGGTGTCAAATACACGTAGTCTTGACGGGAACACTCGTACGCTCGGATGTAGCTTTGGTTGTCGTAGGCGCAGCAGGTTGTGCGCTTGACTAACGTTGCAAGACGGGCGCCACTCCGTCTGCGCGATGTTTAAGCAGCCCCCCGCCTGCCCAGGAGAGCCGCAGCTAACCCTTGAAGCTAGCGGGTCGGGTCTAGGTCCGCGCCAGTGTTCGTCAATCCAGCGAAAGGTCTTTGCGTATTCGTAAGAGAGCCAGGTCGTTACCAGAAGGAAGTTTTGCCATGTCTGTTAGTCTTGACTCTCCACACGAGCCACTCTGCCATGATTGCATCTGAGACCGCACAGCCTCGGGTCTCATTGAGACACGCACCCCCCCCCCCCCCCCCCAAGGGCGAGATGGCACGGGGGGGGGGGTGGCCAATATAATTAAGACAGACTATTTGCTGGCCTACCATTTTTGTAGCCTCTACATCAGAGTCGATGCTTTTGATGATCTTCACTTCGTTGGAGTCTTTACAAAAGTCCAGGAGTTGACGCCTCACGCTGTGCGGCAGCTCTTCGAGCAATGCACACTTGGCCCACGACACATCATCAGCACGTCTGCACATAGCACGATGTGCAATTTATTAACACAGCCAATAATTTCCAAAGCACAGCCAACAGCAGGCGATTACAGGGCTGCTCAGGACGAATAATAATCGAGATCTGAAAATCCCTACATCAAATTATTAATAAACTATTAAATCCTTGTTCTTAGATTCTCCTTTGAAATTCAATTGTTCAGTCTATATTTTACCGCATACGGTATTGTGGACAAACACCCTGAAACCCATTTTCATTCAAGGAAGCATAGATATGACGACGTTTCTCTCTCGACTACTTTCATCTACTAGGTTTGTGCCAAATAAATAGAAATCAAATGTTAAGACAGAGAAAACCTTATGTCAAAAGATTTTGCGTAATTAAACGGTAAGCTCAAGGTAAACCTTCTGTAATAAATAATGACTAGTTTCAAATCTTGTTTTAAAATACGAATAATTTCCATATTGATGCTAACGTGGCTGGAGAGGAGCGTGTGATGCGTTCGTTCAGGAGGGATAAAACCTGCTGGCCACGAGCCCGCAGACGAGTGGCAGCGTCGCCACACACGCCTCGAAGCACTCGCACCCCGGCGCCCTCGCTGCTGCTCTGCAACATGCAGTCTAATAACAGCTTAAAGCCGAAAAAATTCTACATTATGGCGAAAGAGCCGAAAAAATTCAAATTAGCCGAAATACTTGCCTCAATGTGGCTAGTTCTTGTGAACATCTTTCTTGAAATGAGGCAAGTTACAATCCTCATTCAAGTTAGTCATTATGCTCATATCATTAAAATCAAATAGAAACAACTTTTAAAAAACACGTTTTCTTAACGAACACAAATTAAAAACATTGACTCTTACATAACATTAAAGTTATGTAATGATATGTAAGAGTAAATGTTTTTCTTTTTCGTCCGTTAAGAAAACGTGGTTTTAAAAAGTTTTTTATTTGTTTCATTTCGTTTCTAGTTTTGTAACCACCAGAAAACGTGGTATTTAAAAATGGTTTTATATTAATTCATTTTCTACTTTTTAGTTTAGCAATTTTAGCAATTCAAATGATTTTCCGAGGTTTGCAAGTCTGGATGTTCGACAAAAAAAATTGATTCCCAACCGTGAATTTTTATTTATTTTTTTAAATTATTACTTCTGATGATCAAATCTTGAATTGTTAGGCAGCATAAGCATGCATATTAAATTTCAAGTTTCTAGGTCCTCTTCAGAAGTCCTCTAAATTAAAGTTTGAATTTTTGATGACAGACAGACACGAAGCGATGACAGATGGACACGAAACGAAGCTAAGAAAAACGTGGTAAAATAATCCGAATTACAAGCCTCATTTAGGCTAGCTATTATGTTCATATTCATTAAAATTATCCGAATTACAAGCTTCATTCAGACGTATCATTACAAACGTCTTCATTGAAATCAGGTGAGTTACAAACCACGTGTAATATTCGACGTCAACATTCCTCTACAATACAATACGGGGAAAATATATATATTTCTCATCACTCACGACGTTAGAGACCGCAAAGTCTTGCAAGTGAGCGACATCGGCAACGTGTGTGCCGCAGCAGAGCTCTCGTGACACGACCACGTCTGCCGCCCGCGCCGTGATGACCGAGACCGTGTCGGGGTAAATGGCCCCTGCTAGAGGCGTTATTTGCTGGTCCTCTAGAGCTGACGTCAACGGCATCTCGTCACGGCTTACGCAACCGCCTACGTTCATCCAGCTCTGGAAACATGTATCAAGTGGATTCTATTTCAAAAACTCCAATCCAAATGAGAATAAATAGAAAAAAAAATACAGAGAAAATTCAACATTTTTCTAAACGAACGTTTTGACGGCAGTGCCCTCATTTCGAAAGTTAGTGCAAATCTGAAGATATAATCAAATAAAATGGAGCCACTAAAGAAAAAATTTTGACAAACAGCCTTTTTTCCTGCTTCATCAATAATGTCTTTTTGATTGAAACTTGTAGAAATTTATTGGGTGGAGAATATAAAATTCAGTCATCCAAATTCTAGTCATACAAATCGATTTTTAAGGGGAAAAAATGAAATAAAGCCGTTTTATCTACTGCAAATAAGTTCCGAGACAAACCTGCACAGCGCGTTCAGCGTCGAGGATGACGTTCGTGTCCAAGTGCCCGTATGTTCCGACCTCGAGCTTCAGCTCCTCTGATGTCACCAACGACGATAGCTGACACGTCACGCTCCCTATACAACAGTGTAAATTAATGATCAATTAGCATTTAGCATACAACCATCAACCTAGTGCTTTGTGATTAAAAAAAAGCGTGAATAAATGATCGTGATTAGATGATGAAATCATGAGAATGCAAACACTTCAGCGAAATCAGCACCGCTTAAATTCACAATTAAAGAGTTTAAAAGATCAGAGCGTTTTCAAGTTAAGATGGTTTTATTATTGGTATAATAATTCTATAAATTACCAGTTTGCTGTCTAATAGCTGCAAGCAGGAGATGCGTGGCGGTGTGGTGCCGGCTGCAGGCTTGTCTGTGGTGCCCGTCTATACTGCATAGCGCTGTATCGCCAGTCTTTAAAGAGAATAGCTTGGCACGAAATGAGCCCCAGTGTATCACGTAATCGCTCACGGCTTCTGTCTTCACAACTTCGAACACATTATTATTGTCGAGAGCAATTTCACCCACGTCAGATACTTGGCCACCAGCAGTTGCGTAAAAATTGGTGTCTCTCAGAACTAGACCGATGTTTTCTTCTGGTTTTAGATTATCAACAAAGGACATTGCTTTACCATCACGTATCACAGCATGGATGATAGTTTCCAAAGTTTCATATTTATATACTAGGGATTTGTCAGCACGTTTGTCGACGGTTGTGTGTTGTGGAGAGTTAGGGGATAGATAATATTGGTAAACAGGATGGGTGTTAGTGGGAAGTAGGCCATTCTGCTGTAATTGCGAGACTATGCTGTCCAGATCCACTCTTTCGAGTGCCGCATGGCGCAATTTCTGGTGACGTTTGAGACGATCTAAGCTTTCTTTGTATTCCTGAGGGCAAACACGACAGTTGTATAGACTGGCAAGCTCTTCAACGACCTCGAACGGCACACCGCACGTTTGTGTTAACCTGGAAAACGATATTAAATGTTTACAAGAACATGTCAAGAATGTGAGCGAGTCTAATAAAGTGATGTCAATTATCTTCACAATTCTAAAGGATGAAATTAAAAAAAAAACGTACAAACAGAAATATATAAACACATTTCTGGTTAGTTAGTTAGTTTAGTGGTCACATGTTTACTAGCGCTCCAGCTATTGAGCTATCTCGCACCGGAAGTCTAGATAAACATCACCAAAGAGGTGGAAGGTCTCAATTATCGAAAATTTCTCAAATCAATAATTGTTCATCACCCACAAAGGGCGGATGTCTGGCCCGCTGAAGCTGGCTCGAGAGAAGCAGCGTTAGCATCTCAAAGAGACGAAGTGACAAGGAGGGACAGGTGAAAAGCAATAGAAACTAAGACATTCGAACAAGCAGTCGCTTACACGGGACGTCGGCCGCCCGCACGAGAGAGACAGAGAAGAGGACCCGATGGGTACTTAATGTAATGATAGGTACTCAATGTAAAGAACCTACCTACATAATAACTTAACCCCAAAACTGAAACCTGCAGTCAGATACCGCGAGCTCAGCGGTGAGGCGCTCAGGAACAATCCCCCTAGGGGCGCGAAATCCCATAGGACTTCTGACGAGCACAGACACCCGTCAGAAGTCCCCCTTGAGGGGCAAAAAATAGTGCAATAGAATTATCAAAAATAATTAAAAATACGGTATGGGAGATTACTAACTTGAGTGCAGTGTCGCAGGACAAGCGTCCATCACTCGCAGCGCTAAGCTCGGGCAGTGCTAAAGCGATGCCCTGCAGGAGGCCGGGCGAGCAGCTCTCTTCCAGGGCGGCCAGGCGCGGCTCTGATGCCACCAGCGCTGCCCACGCCCTGCAAAGTTGGGTCTGGTGGTCAGCAGTAAGCAAGTTTTACCTGCACGCTCCTTATGTCAAGTCAGCGTCAGCACGTTTTACCTGCACGCTCCTTATGTCGAGTCAGCACGTTTTACCTGTATGCTCCTTATGTCGAGTCAGTGTCAGCGCGTTTTACCTGCACGCTCCTATGTCGAGTCAGCGTCAGCACGTTTTAGCTGCACGTTTCACAAGTGCTTATACACGAGGAGGAAAGTTTAGCCAATGTTATTGGCGGCAAATACTTACCTCTTCGTACTGGCTGAAAGCTAATTTACGAGAATAATATCAGCTAAACAGTATTTTCTGATTCTAAAGCGTCAGTACATCATTAGAAGCAGTCGAGCAGTCGAGTGAAATCTGCGCTTTGTGGAAGAATTGGGAACGTGACGGTAACTGCGAGTTTGAGGAGGTTTTTGATGAAGCAATTAGTGAAATTGCTGCCACTCTAGCTAAGGGGCTGAAAAACTTCAATCAATTTAATTCATCTATTCGTTTGAATAGTCGAACTCAACTCATTCAATCAACGGAGAGTAGTAATAACACAGATAAATATTTCCTCATCAGTGTGATACAAGCAAGTATAATGCCTATGGAACATTAAGTACATACGGACGCAGCTTGGCCGCATTGAGGCTGTAGTGTTGCAGCTCAAACTGCATGACGGAGTGCACGACTGGGAGGCGTTGCAGCAGCTCAGGGTAACGGGGGCGCAGCGTGTTGACCACGGCGCTGCATAGCGGCAGCAGCCAATGCTGCAGTCGACAAATATGCGCTCATTTCTCGGGAAAATAATCAATTCCCCTTTTAAAATCGTTGTGCAAAAAGTGCTTTTTTGGCACCAAGTTGCCATTTTTAATCAGTAGCATGAAATAAGTTGAAACCTTTAGGAAATGCACATTTTTTCGCAAACTTAACGAACAAAAATTGATGACGGAAACTGGTAGCAGGCATATTTGTTTTGTATTCAAAACGAATATTCATGTTAACTCATCAATGCATTCATTTAAGTGATTTGTTTACAGGAATTGGTAGTAGAAGGTTCAGTTAGCATTGTGGTGATGATATTTACACTAATATATGCATTACTGCAATTCGTGAGTGAATGAATAACTATATATAGTTATAGTAGCATCTAGGAACAGGAAGGCATCAGCATGATAATATTCAAGACTAGGATGTTCAGCGGCAACGACAGAAAACAATTTGGTGAGTTCACGAATTTTTATTAATGGCATTATTAATTTAGTGCCAAGAAGCCAGTAAACTTCACACCTTTGATGCTGTGCTGGAGCGGTTGTGAGTGAGACCCAAGTGTTGCTCAGCCGCTCTGAACATGCGGCGCAACACGCGCCGTAATCCGGCGCTGCATCAACACATTTCTGGGTTAATTATGATCACACTAATAGATTATTATACCAATTGCGCTTAATTACTACAAATAGGTTTTATTATTATTCAGGAATAACTTCGATCACAATATTAATAATATGTATGGGGTTGGTCCTAGACACTTTTTTTAATCGTCCAAGATTGGCTTTATTATAATGGTGGTTTCTTGAATGAATAGCAATGCTTGTACGATGCGTGGACAATTTTTATTTCGAAATATGTTCTAAATTTTGTATCAACACACCCTATCAACACGCCGTATCAACACGCCGTATCTCACACCGTATCAACACACCGTATCAACACACCGTATCAACACACCGTATCAACACACCGTATCAACACACCGTATCAACACACCGTATCAACACACCATATCAACGTATCAACACGCCGTATACGGTGTGTTGTTTCTGAGTTTAAATTACAGAATGTCTGGAGACATATTCAACTTAATAAATTTAAATCAATTTTGCGACTGATATATTGCTCAAAGTATCCAAAGCTATAAGGTTACATCAAGTATTATATCTACATAAATTTTCTATACGCTCATACGGATCACAGAGCAGGCAAACATTCAAAGCAGACTTAACTCGTGGCTTGTCAATAAAAACTGCATAATACTGGCCAGAATTATGACTTGTAGGGTTCAATTATAAAAATGATTTTAAAAAATTGTTCTCCAAAGCCCGGTGACATAAGTAGCATTACCATTAGATTCAAGGATAATTTATTAAGCAAGCCATTGATAGAAAGAAAGCTCTTTAAGAACAGATGCCCTGTGATCACTTTGAGTTGGGGAGAGAACCATCAGCCAGGGCGACGACGGCCATCCTGACGTGGTCAGCAACAAGTCTGTAGGCGGTGTCTTGCTCGTATCTTGGGCCGCTGAAGCTGCCCGAGTATCGCTCCACTCCTGATACCTGAGTCAATTTTACAGCGTTAACAAAAGCTCAGCAGCAAAACTCAATTTTGGCCACAGCTAAAATTGTATAGCAATAGCACATGCTTGTCAGTGATAATAATCAATCTTGGCATGAAAGTTAATTTACAACAATAACACACCAGCTGAACTCAAGATTGCTTGGCAGAAGAATAATTATTTATGATACAAGCATTAGGGATGTTTTTAACCAATAATATTTTACAGACAGTTTACAGTAACTCAAAGGTGTTTTCGAACCGGATAACTACTGGTTAAACATAAAGTTACATCCATAGTTTATATAAAATAGGTACTTAGTTTCGTAAAATATTGTAACTCCAATACAACATAAGCAGTAATTAGAGCGATTTCTACCAAAAGATCACACCCATGGCTTATTTTGGCTTCAGGCAATATTTACCTACAGATACCATCTTTTTCGTCAATGCAGACTAGGTCAGCATTACAATGGCAGCACAATACTGCGCATTTCCTACCTGCTGAATGACATCAAATAGCGGCAGGAAAAGATCGGTGTCGTAGTTGCTGGTCACGTTGTTGAGCGTGGCAGTGAGGCGCTCGAGTCCCATGCCAGTGTCAACGTGATGACGTGCCAGGGGCGTCAGGGACCCGTCCAGCCGTCTGTGCTGAACATTACACATGGAGTTACTTCACTGCATGAACCTATGACACAACAACAATGAAAAGGAACAAAACTATGACAGAACATCAATGAAAAGTTACAAAACTATGACAGAACATCAGTGAAAAGGAACAAAACTATGACAGAACATCAATGAAAAGGAACAAAACTATGACAGAATATCAGTGAAAAAGGAACAAAACTATGACAGAACATCAATGAAAAGGAACGAAACTACAATAAACATTACTGAAAAGAAACACAACTACAACGAACATCACTGAAAAAAACTATGACAAACATAACTGGAAAAGGAAAGAGTTCCGAATTCATAAATGAAGCTAGTTCCGTTTATATTTCAAGACAATGTGAACATCGCTAACAGGAAGTATTTACTGTAATCACGTTGGTTATCTTCCAAAATTATAATAAACAGTGGAATGAATTCAAGCATCAGAATTATGTTCCTGATAGTTTTGAAAAGAGAGAGTATATTACGGACAGGTAATGCTTATATCTTCAACATGACATGTATAAAAATTCTTTAGTAGAAGTACTTGAAGAAAATATAAATACCGCATTTAATACTTCATTAGTCTTAAATAAACATGTCAATTAAACCATCTGCATCTACAGTAACCAAAGTCATGGGAGTAATAGTAATCCTGATTTCACCTTTCATACTGCACAAAAACCACATTCCAGAGCTCGATAAGATCCTCATGACCGGAGTTGACCAGATGTGTCACGTTCTGTGGGCATTCAGCGCCGCGATAGTAATGGAGTTCAGAACACGGCCCGCATGGCCCCACGGGTCCCATCTCCCAGAAGTTGTCAGACACACCAAATGGCAACACACGTTCGGCTGGAACACTAAAAGTACATAATAATTACACTAATATCAATGTGGAATCCTGCATGCTAATTACACTAATATCAATGTGAAAACCTGCATACTAATCAAACTAATATCAATGTGGAATCCTGCATACTAATTACACTAATATCAAAGTGAAAATCTGCATACTAATTACACTAATACTAAAGTGAAAAACTGCTTACTGCTTACACAACATCAATGTGAAAATTACTGAACTCACTCAATGTAAAAACCTGTCTGAATGAATCGCACCATGCATTTTCCCCATGAACTCAATAGTCTGGGCAGCCTTAGACTGACTTTCCATGCAACAAAATGAACTTCTATCCAAGTCACAGCACAAATTTCCCTTCCACATGCATAATAAAATTAAAAAACTCTTGCAGTTCATATGGTAAAAACTTCTACAGATATACTATATAAATGCATCACATCATCCAATGACACATTTAGATCATGCAACAAGCATGCTAGCTAAAAATCCTTCATTGATGATCATTTTTTAAAAAATATTTTGCCAAGTGAAGGGAAACAATAGAGTATCTGACCCAATGCTGAGCCATGTATCCCTGGTGAGCTGGTCTGCTGGCACACCAAGTGAAGAGTCTCCACCAAAATAGGTAACAAAAAGCCGCTCAGGTTGTAACTTATAAACTTCTGTCAACAACTGCCATGCCAACTTGCATGCTTCTTCCTGAAATTAAATAGTTCTAGATGACAACTAAATTCCCGTAGAAGGCAATTTCTAGTGCAGTATGTTTCACAATATTGAACATCAGTAAAAAAAATCTACCTTGAAAATATTTCATCTAGAATATTGCACAAGTTCAAATGACTATCTGATAGAATTATTAGATTATTAATGAAATAACATAAATGGCGTTTAAAAAGAAAGGACTATGGCTGCTAGAAGGAAAAACAAATACTAACATGAATGAAACCATTAATGAATTGAAATGCTGAGGTTTTCCAGTAAAGACTTGCAACTCAAAAATTAGATGCCAATTCAATCTTTTTAAAAATATTCCCAGTACTTACTACGTAATAATTACATTTATAATTTTTACAGCATTTAATCCTGCTGAAGGTACTATAAAGTAATTCATGACCTAATAATTACCTTGAAGTAGTCTCCAAACGACCAAGAACCAAGCATCTCAAAGAAAGTGTGATGGTATGAGTCTGTACCAACAGCTAAGAGATCATTGTGCCGACCACCAACTCTGATGCATTTCTGGCTGTTGACTGCACGTGGACAAGGAGGTGGCTTAGCCCCAAGCAGAACAGGTTTGAACTGTGAACAAATTTGTTAATCAACTTATTTTATTCTACAAAACTGTTTACTATATTCCAGATATTATTCACAAATAAAATCATCTATATATGACAGTAAAAAATTTGAGGAATGTAAGAACAATATTAGTTGAATGTATCATCAAGTTATAACTTCATTTTAAATAAAAATTATAGGTACCTAATGAAAGAGTAATATATATCTATATACACATGACCCCTTATCATCAGAGGAATAATTTTAAAAATCAGATGATATTAGCTGCTCACCTGATTCATTCCAGCATTGACAAAGTAGAGAGAAGGGTCATTCCAAGGAGTAACAGAGCTAGATGGAATAAACTTGTGGTGCTCTTTCTGGAAGAACTTGATGAACTCTTCTTGAACAACCTGCAGAAAATTTCACAAATTCAATGTTTTTCATTATGACCTGCAAGTTGGATTATGAATCATATGTATTCAAAACATTTGAAGAATCAAATTTCACAATAAAAAAACTTAAAAATAAATGACAGCCTACTAGACTTGCTTGATTTAATAAGGTCACTTTTAAATATGGTTTTACAATCTTAACTTCCTAAAAATCATGCTTACCTGTGCAGCCCATGTGTGCTTGAGCTGTTGCTGCAATACAAAGCATGCAGGTCTTCCTTGAAAATTTCTATAACATCTACCATGATATCTTAATGATTTAAATGCTTTTACTGTCATTTGTGTCAACATTATTGAGCCTCTAATTTATTGATAGTTGCCTGCAGGGAAGAAGGAACTGACAGGGACAGTAATGAGCCACGATGGCATTGATGGCTTAATCATTAATTATTTTGCATAATGTGCTATTGTAATTTAATTAGAGGCAGCAGCAAAGTCTTGATCAGAGTTGAATTTTCTACAGAGTAATAGTAAGAACAGTTAGAATAAAATAGAATAGAAGTGTTAGCATTGAAGAAATAGGCCCATGGCCTGTTGCAGATCTTGAACTTTTCGTGACTTGATTCACAAGGGATCCGGCCTTTAGAACCCAATCTTTCAATAACTGACAATTGATTGAGATAGCTGCTGGACTTATTGCCTGGTCTGTAATTTGCTAAGCAGTAAGCATTTTAAAACTGAACATATGCTCCTGCATAGCTTTGTCTAGTCTATTTTTGAAGCTGTTCATACTCGGAGCGTCAACAATGCTATCAGGGAGGCCGTTCCACATGTCAGTGACTCTAAGCGAGAAGAAGTGTTGTCGCATCACTCGCATGGATGTGTTCCAATGCTGTTTTTTTAGTTTATAAAAAGGCCAGCCAGTCTTGCAGATGCAGCCGGACTTGCAACCGACAGTAGCAGTATTACCAAGAAATTGAGGTGCTGGCCTTTCCAAGTTACTTTCTTCTATATTATAATGCCATCAGTGGGAAAGAATATGCTCCTAAGTTATGTATGGGCAGTATGGCAACAAAATTGTGACCCAAACTCCAAAGGACCTCTCTATATATAATAAATCCTATGATAGCCACTAACACTAAGCTACTCAAGTTTAAGGCTACATAATAGGCCCTAAATCAGGCCTCTGCTTCAGGGCTTAGGCTGCCTATAAATAATTTTTAGCCCATTGTTCCGTGAATAGCTCCATCTCTAGGCTTTGCTGCTTTGGCAGAGTCTAAAGCTTAAAGAAGAGGAATTTTAAAGTATTTGTGGCTTCAATCTTGAAATTTGGTCCGTCGTCTGTCGCAGCTCAAACCGGACCATTGTCATGTGGGACAGTGGGGTCGTCAACTCGATTGATTGATTGATGACGGTTTGAAGGTGTTGAAGAAGTCATGCGCGGCAGCGCGAACCGCTTGTAACTCCTGAACTTGGCAATTATTATTTAGTTCAAGTCTTTATCTTCTCACTTCAATTTCTTTCCCTCTTTATCAGCTGATGCTTCTTCTTCAGGTTGTTGGCAGTCTCACGATGTGAAGCGATGGGAGGCAAATTGTCATTAGGTTCAGTGCTCTTTACTGGCTATAAAGTAGTTAGACCATTAGACGACCAGTTTGTGTGAGGTAAGTAGCAATTGCTCGTACTATGGAGTATGGAGTGCTGAATTCGTCCAGGGTAATTGCCTCTGCCAAGAAGCACACATACAGACACGAGACTGATGAGAGAGCTTGAGAGGAACTCCCAGGGTGGCAGGGCATTGATGCTCGATACCATCACCTGTCTCTCACGGTCATATAGGGCACATATCAGGAGGAAGTGTTCAACTGTTTCTTCAACCCCACAATGCAGACACATGGGACTGATGGGAGTGTCAGCCATCCCAAATCGATGGAGATAAGAATGAACTCCAACATGTCCCAGACAAAGGCGAGTTAGGGCAACTGAAATACGGCGAGAATGACAAGCAATCCATGGGACATTGGGACTGGAGACAACCCTGAACAAATGGATGCAAGATGGTGGCCCGTCCATCAGTAGCCACTGCAGACGGCCACTCCATCTCCCAAAACTAAGGAAGCCACCGAAGCATAGCAAGGGCATCAGAGGTTCAGAGCAAGTTAGAGGGAACAAGGCAGAGTGATGCAGGTGATGTCCCAAGGGGGGGGGGTCGTTAACTCTTAAAAAATCACAGGATCGCATTGTTGTTGTTGCCGGCTGCGGATTGAAGGTGAGAAAGTAGCCGCACAAGGATCGCAATCACTGGCCTCCGTTCTGACCTACCGGATTATTCTCCGGGCAGTCTTAACTTAAGGCATTAACTTGCACAACAAAATGATTAGAATGTCTCTTAAATTACCTAGCACAGCTCAAGAGCACGTCTCGGACAAATTTTGTCGAGACGTAGAGCACGTCTTGGACAAATTTACGGCCAGACTTGCGGCGGCGCGGCCGGTCTCGCGACCGACAGTAGCAGTATTACCAAGAAATTGAGGTGCTGGCCAAATCCGCCCTCTGGCGGATTCTAGACATCGCAGAACCAAAAGGTCATCACGTCTCCGACAACTTCACGGTCAGCTGAGCGGCAAAAAGTGCACGTCTTGGACAAATTTACTGCCAGACTCGCGGTCAGTGTCCCCAAATTTAGTGAGCAAGAAATATCTCCCAAAGTAATGAACGTAGCTCGATGAAACTTGGTACACGTATTCATTAGGACGTACCGGTGATTTTTAGCTCATTAAAATGTATGATTTTCATCTTCCTTAGTGAGTTATATGGCGATACTTGCCGAAATTCGCAGTAAGCAAGAAGTTTATTCTAAACTGCTATACCGATTTGAACGAAATTTTGAATATACAAAACTAACCTCGTGCCAAATTTTTAGATTTTGCCTTCGTTTGTTTTTTTTCGTTGTTCCCACATTCGTGATTTAAACAGCAATACGTTCTGACGTGCTTAAATTCGCAGTGAGCATAAAATTTCTCCTAAAATACTAAACAGATTTTTACGAAACTTCATATGTGAATATACCCATGGTTCAACCATGAATATACCTACCTAACCTCGCACCGGCGATGTTTAGCTTGTGAAATTTTTTTCGAATTTGCCTTCGTTCGCGAGTTATACGGATATATGAAGAAACGACTGGCATTTCTCAGGCCTATTTTTATACTTGCGTTGACCAAGACCCGGTATACGTAAAGCTGTATAACTCGCAAACGAAGGCAAAATCGATAAAAATTGTCACAAGCTAAAAGTCACCGTTGGAAGGTTAGGTAGGTATTCACATACGAAGTTTCGTTCAAATCTGTTTGGTATTTACGAGAAATTCTACGCTCACTGCGAATTTAAGCACGTATTATTGCTGTTTACGACACGAATGTTGGAAAAATAGAAAAAAACTCGCAAGCCTAGACAAAATCTAAAAAATCACTAGCTAAACATCACCGCTAGGAGGTTAGGTTTCTATATTCAAAGTTTTTTTGAAATCTTTACCGTAGGTTTGTTTGAAGAAGTGTCATGCTCACTGCAAATGTCGGCACATATCGTCATATAACTCACGAATTAAGGTGAAATTTAACAAATTCATGAGCTAAACATCACCGTTAGGTTCTAATGAATACGTGTACCAAGTTTCATCGAGCTATGTTCATTACTTTGGGAGATATTCCTTTCACAGAATTTGGGGAAACCGGCCGGACATGCGGCTGATCTCACGGCCAATCTCCTAATTCTGTAACCAAGGATTATCTCTAAAAATAATTAACGCAGCTCGATGAAAGTTGATACACGTATTCAGCAGATCCTAACGGTGATATTTAGCTCGTGAAAAAATTTTCCAGATCACCTTCATGCCTGAATTATACGACAATTTGTGCCGAAATTTGCAGTGACTAAGAAATTTCTTTTAGGCTACTGAACAGATTTGAACGAAACTTTGGTTACTGTAACACTAGGCAGGGTGGCCCAGTGGTTACAGTTCAGAGTACCAAGATAATGAAGATTGGAGCAAAGAGGCGCGGGTTCGATCCCAGCTCTGTGTGTCAGTTTCTGGTCAGAATCGGCGAGGAGGCCGGGCGGTTAAGCACAGCAGAATTGTAGCAGTGAGTTGCGAGTTCAAGCCCGCAACAAGCTGTAGGTGTTCTGCGATGTTACGAATCGGCGACAGGCCTACGGCCTACTAAACGCTGAAACCGCCATTATTATTTTTATTTATTATATATTCTTAATCTTCCAATCTATAGCTCAAGATTTCGGATTTTCTTCGTTTTTTCGGTTTTACTTTTGTTTGCGAGTTTTTTCCATTTCACATTCATTCGTGAGTTATAGAGCAATTCGTGACGAAATTTGCAGTGACCAAGAAATTACTCCTAACCTACTTAACAGATTTGAACGAAACTTGGAATAAACAAACGACTGAATTTGGAGATTTGCCATGAGACCGGCCGCAAGCCCGGCCGTAAATTTGTCCGAGACGTGAAAAGTGCTAGGGATTTTTGAATCCATTATTAGGTATTGATGATGAGCTTACGGAAATAACACAATTTGTATCATGCAACTAAAGCAAAGCAATAAAGGAGGACAATCAGATGAGTCCTTTTTTCTTAAGTTTGTTTTACTCTATTCGAAAAAATCTGCGTTCAATATTATGCCAAATTTTGTGACTGATATATATTCGCTCACAAATTTTTCATTTTCAATTCCTAAATTTTGTTCATATATACCGGTATTGTACAAATATTATTTGAAGTTAGTAAAATGCTGATTTTTCACAGATAATTCTTTGTAGAAGTAATAACTACTATTTTAAAATTGGAATTTCATTTTACAGCAATTATTGAATAACTACTACTTGGTGTGATTGAATACCAATTGACTCTGAGTCATTTATTTTTACGTTGCTGCATAACATTGCTGTCGCTTGAGCTTGCGAGAGTACCTTGTCATTCCACCTCTTATCCTCTCCTATTAGCGACGTTTATCTACCGGCAACTCCTCACACGAGCACTGGATCAATCAACTATTTCATAAACTTACAAAGTATCTTTGAGTGCTTAGACTCTGGGTAATCTGTAATCCATATTCGGTTAGCCTATTTCTCAAACTCAAAGCAGGTGTCCAGCATATAAGTTAATCATTGTTTGCTTATTCTTGTAAATAAAATTTGTATTTTCGTAATTTTACATGCCTACTGGCCCACTGGGAAATTGGTTATAACTTATAAGTACTTACTCTTATAATTAAGCCCTTTAGCCCTTAGCATCCGAATTTCATACAGATCACATACAAAAAAATTTATATGCACTTTTTTTATGGGACATAAAATAAGGTTACAAACCAAAGGTTATTAGAATCAGTTCATTTTTAATTTCCTCATTTAATAGGTAGATATGTTAATCAATTTCTTGTGTATAATAATGGCTTAATCATAATGCTGGATTGTGGATTGCTGGTTTCCACTTTCCAAGATGACAAAGATCAGATAGCCTACCGTAAAATGGGGTAACTTAGACTATTTTTTTAAAGGTCATTTTTTTACTAGCTAAATGAAACTTTAATTGAAACATGCAAAATATAGTTCTATACTCTAGGTTCACAGACGTTCACTCACCATAAATTCCACTATGCAGAGGGTGGATGCAGCGTCGGCAATATATGGATTTTTAAGCCCAAAGCGTCGCCGGGTAATTTTTAATGAAAAGCCATTTACGCTGAGTAATGATGAACTATTTACAAGCCACGAACTTATTACAAGGTTGCATGCACGTGTTACCCCAAATAACTAATTTTACCCTAAAAACAGTCCGGTTGTATGTAGTCAATATACTCGCGTATATTGTCGACTAAAATAGTAGAACTATTTTAGCTTTCTAAAGTACGGCGCACGGCGCATTTTTTTACCAACGTAGTACGGCGCACTGCGCAGGTTGTTAAAATGACAAAATAAATTCCCGCGCACCTGGCACATCTTCCTGACCATGGAGTTCTAGTTACATATGCAAATGACAAATTTGAGGAAAGTGTCATAGTTTGCAAATGGGGGGCGCCGCCCCTGAATGGGGGAACTTAGACCACCTAATGTCAGCCGTGACCTTGAAGGGGTAATGTTGACTGGCTTGGAAATTAAGTTAAAATTGACATATACCTATAACTGATATAAGAGTAATAAGACTCTGTAGAGTCTGAATTTCTAAAACATAATGAAAAAACATTAATAGGTGTATCAAACATGAAATATGTTATATATGGTAATTGGTAATTAATATAAATAAATTGTACATTGCCATCATCCAAGAGACAAAGCTCTGGCACTCTCACTAGAGACCATCCATCCAAAACTACACTGCCATGTGCCATCAGACAGGATAGGCAACATGGGGAAGGTGGTAAGGTGGATAAATTATGCATATCCACCATAATATTGCCTACTTGGAGAAAACACAGCACATCAAAACCCTAACAAAGGTAAACAGGCACACAGAACTACAGTCATTTCACATTTAGACAGGTTACAAAAACATATTACCCTCATCAACTGATCAACATATACATTCCCTCAGAACACTTACTGGATTTACTGGCCCACTACACTCTCACACTCCAAGCAAACATGTTCTTAATGAGTCTGACAGGGCTGTAGCTCCATCACATTCAGAAGACGTTTCTAACGCGCAATTTCTTGAAAGGCAACGTGCATGTACAGCTAGATGCTAAAGGGTCAATTAAAGTCTAATTCCACTCCACGGATTACTCAGGTAATTCAACATCAGTAGGTTAACTGAAAAGTGGGGACAGAGTCTTTTCCTATTAATGTATCTGCAACTCTGAGAACTACCAAGTACCAAGATAGTAATAGCCGTAAATGTTGATACATCTGATATTCTTTTCTAATTGTTTCCTTTTTTCTTTTGTGACAGAGTTACCAGTTTAATCACAATGCAGAATATATTAAATGCTGTTAAAGGAAAAGCTCTTGGTGTTGCTGAGTATCTTACCCCAGTTTTAACAGTAAGTGTAAATTCTCTAGATGCAAAATTTTTACAAGCCTAATGATGAATTTCTTATTTACATATTCTTACAGAAACATACCCCTCCTTTTAAACCTGTAAACTGTGACATGAAATATGCTCAAATAATAATTTATAATTATAAATAATAATTTATCCGTAATATTTTATTATTGGTACTACTATAATATTGTTAAATAATAATGTCGTTGGCTTTTTAGTTAATTTTCTTGAATGATATTGTTGTAGTTTTATTTCAGACACCTAATTTCAGACTGTATTCCCTCAACCAGGAGAGTAAATTTTTGGAAACTGGTGTACTGACTCCAGAAGAGTTTGTTGCTGCTGGAGACCACCTTACTCATCACTGCCCCACATGGCAGTGGGATGCTGGAGACCCAGCCTACACTCGTCCATACCTGCCTCCTGACAAGCAGTTCCTTGTCACCAGAAATGTGCCTTGCTACAAACGTGTAAAACAGGTGTTTTTAACTGCAAGTTCTATACCACATTTTTTTCTATATCTTATCATTTACACCATAACAGATTTAATCAGTTGTATACATAGGTGTTTTTGATTTAAATTTTTATATGTTAGGTTGAAATGTTTGGATAAAATTTCATTTTATTTTATTTTCTAGTAAATTGGGTCCTACAATATGTATAAGTCAAATTAATTTTCTCCTAACATTAATTGGCTTGTACTTGTAGATGATGAAATAATCACTTAATCAAATTAATTTATTATTGAGTTAAATTTTTTTCCCTTTTATCCAATGTTCATTTTCAATAATTCATTCCCATGTACCAATTCCCATTCTGTTTATATATCTTACCTTGAATTAACATTTCTTATGTTGCTGTGCAGATGGAGTACCAGGGTGCAGAAACTGTGTTGGATGAAAATGACGGTGATGGAGGATGGGTTGACACCCACAGCTCCTCTCTGCTTGGCGACAACGGAAGTGGGGCTGTTGCTCAACAAATTGCAGAAATGACCCTTGATGATGACAAAGTAGGTTGCCTCAGCTTCTGGAATTACCTTGAAATACAATTAAATTGTAAACTTGATTTTCTATTACGGTATGCTGTTATGGAATCAGCAAAACGGTATGTTATCTAATTACATGTTTACAAATCCAATTTCTGTTTTTCAGTTAGTTAATTCAATATTATTTTTTATTCAGGAAGAGGCCTCAAGATCAGTTCCAGCTCCTCTTTTAGAGCGTCAAGAGGAACCTGAGGATGATGAGGATGAAGCTTTTGACATGGACGAATTTGATGAAATGGGCAAAGTTCAGGATGAGGACCCTGTGAGTATTGGTAAAAATCCCTTGCTGTTTTTAGCGCATTTTCTCATTTATGGAAAAAAGCTGCTATTGTTACCGCCATGTCCCTCTGTCAGTCTGTCTGCCTGTCTGTCTGCCTGTTTGTCTGTCTGTCTGTCCGTGACTTCACGTTTACGTCCACGAGAAAATGCGCTCTCTGTCACTCACTGCAGTCAGTACAGAGTTATATTTTTTCTAATTCCATACATGATGCATTTTAATAGGTTTAAACTTGAATTTTTACCTTAAAATTTTTTGAAACAAGCTTCTGTTTGCTGTTGAAAAGTTCGTGCAGTCATTTGCTTACAGTCTCTTCATATCCCTTACATAATGTATTTTGCTTAACGTAAATCTGTAAATATCCATCCCTTTTTAGCACATTTTCTCATTTATCGAAAAAATGCCCTATTGTGCTCGTCATGTCCGTCTGTCCGTCCGTGACTTCACGTTTTCGTCGACGAGAAAATACGCTCTCTGTCACTCACTGCATTGAGTACCTACTGAGTTATATTTCTTTCATGTAAAGTCCGAGTACATCGCGCCCGTCGTCTCTGGCAAGTCTGGTCTTGATGACGTCATGGAGGGCGCTGCTGGTGGTGGAGGCGAGATTGTCCCTACACGACGTTACGATCTGCACATCACTTACGATAAATATTACCAGACTCCTCGTCTCTGGCTCACTGGATATGATGAGGTTAACAGATGTCCTATTATTGTGGCTCACAGTTAGTCGTTTATAAGGGGTGTGTGAGGCACAGAATGGCTTTTTAACTCAAACCTATTCTCATACACTAACGGTACACTTATTTTTTAACTGAGACTATTTAGCAGGTAGATTTTCTTTTATTTGCAGCACTAACTACAAATTCTTTATTCTAAGGACCCTACTCACTTATCATCGCTCCTTGACCGTACTGTTTTTCTTTTATGTTGAGCCCCCAACAATACGGGGCTTATCAGAAAGTTACTGAAATTAATCTTTACTAAGAGACAGTAAGATACTGAAATCGTATTAGTAGAAGTTTTAAATTATCAAATTACTTGTGCAGAACCGCGTGCCCCTGAGCGTGGAGGCCATGTATGAGGACTTCAGTGAAGACCACGCAAACAAGACCATCACTGTTGAGACCCACCCTCATCTTTCTGGGGGACCTCCCATGGCTTCTGTACATCCCTGCAAGTGAGCTACCTTCTGCGCTCTTAATGTTACTACCTGTATAAATCGCACTGATTTTAAACTTTTTATGTTCATCAATTTATCTCTTCTTGCTGGTCAATGAAACGATTTTCTTTTCATTAAACTGTGTTGTCATTGCGGTGAATTTTCCTAACCGTGCAGGCACGCCGAGACAATGAAGAAGCTGTGCGAGATTATGACCAGTCGCGGCAGTCGGGAGCTGCAGGTGCACCTATACCTCATCGTCTTTCTCAAGTTCATGCAGGCCATTATCCCCACCTTGGAGTACGACTTTACGCAGAACTTTACACTCTAATGCCGGCCATCATCCTCATTTTGGAGTACGACTTCACCCAGAACTTTACACTCTAATGCAGGCCATCATCCTCATTTTGGAGTACGACTTTACCCAGAACTTTACACTCTAATGCCGGCCATCATCCTCATTTTGGAGTATGACTTCACCCAGAACTTTACACTCTAATGCAGGCTATCATCCTCACCTTGGAGTACGACTTCACGCAGAACTTTACACTCTAATGCATGCTATCATCCTCATTTTGGAGTACGACTTCACCCAGAACTTTACACTCTAATGCATGCTATCATCCCCACCTTGGAATACGACTTCACGCAGAACTTTACACTCTAATGCAGGCCATCATCCCCACCTTGGAGTACGACTTCACCCAGAATTTTACACTCTAATGCATGCTATCATCCTCATTTTGGATTTCGACTTCACGCAGAACTTTTTAACTTAATTCATTCAAACATTTATACAACTTGGATTCCGACTTCACCCAGAATTTTTTAACTTAATTCATTCAAACATATATACAACTTGGATTACGACTTCACCCAGAACTTTTCATTCTAAGTCATGCCATCATTCAAACCTTGGATTAGAACTTCACCCAGAACATTGCACTCCAAGATTCCATCACCATGACAGCCTCCTGTGTTCCTCCTGTAGAGTCATTGCTTATCTGCCACTCGTCTTTCATTAAAATAATCTATTTCCATTTGCATGCGTGTTATGTTTCATTCATTTTTGTGGTAATTCTTCATTTTATTGTTGATGTTTCAGTCTCGCATTTCTTTTCACTTTTATTAGGGCTTATCTTGAGTTTGTGGTCATGTACGTAGTCTTTTATTAAACACTGTACAATATAGAACAGTGAGTTGGGTATGAGCTTTTTTAGTTTGTGTTGAGTATCATTCGAGCGCCGGAGCAAATTGAAGTTTTCTGATGTCTTTCCCGCACCAGAGTTCTTAGGTACACCTCTTACTATCTCCTAGTCGAGATGGAATATCTCGTGGAAATTTCCCAGAAATTCCAGCTTATACTTACATTTAGTTCAAATTTTAATATCGTATTTTAATTCAATAAAAATATATAAAATGACAGGCTTCACTCAATCCGTGGATGTAAGTATATTTCACAGAACCATAAAACGTCGGTCGACCGTAGTTGCTGACGGAAAAATGTACATACCACCATCATTGAAGTAAAGTAATACTTGGTTGAGCGTTACGTTAGTTATAACCTACGGTAGTTTCTCTTCGTTTTTAACGAATGTTTTTTCCTTATCTATCCACTGCATTTTTTGTGAACTTTATAATTAACTCGAGTTGAGAGGTCAAGTTTTCAACTGATCTGATGTATATGTATGTTCTTGTATCTCCGAGCAGTGGTTACTGCCTAAGTTCTTTCTCCCTGTTGTGCTGCTATCCTCCTTTATAAATGCAACTCTACATTTACCGCATGTGACTTAGGGTGAATTTCTCAGAGAAGAATTCATCAACTTTTAGGGAGAAATGGAGGGATACCAGACGAGAAACTCACAGTATTGGAAAGGAAAAAATATGTACGTGATCATGTAAAAGGTTGAACTTGCTCAAAAGAACATGTTAAACAGGTTAATATGCTCATTGTGGCAGGCTCTCATGGTAGTAAGGTGACCAAGTTTGAGATCCACTGCAATACGCGGATTCTGTTCTCCTATGACATTCCTGTGAAGTTCGGCGGGCTCTGAATTTGATCCTTATTATCTCATTTGTTTTTATTATCAATCCATGGATTTGGTATGGTATGAGACAAATAAATACGTTAAGTAAATAGTAATCATGTTTTTGCTAAACTTTCATTTTCATTTCTCAAATATTTTAAAAAGATTCACAGACCGCATGATTATGCAGCTGCGAGAAAATGTTTGATGCTGCAAGTTAAATAACTGCACAGCAAGATTTTAGTAACTAAATGATTTAAAGAATGTAAAATGTACGGACGTTTCAATTATGTACAGCGGACGCATTATCGTAGCTATTTAGCCTTACGTGAAGACTGGTAATTTTTTTCGTTGTTCCGCCGGAAGTTTCGTTGTTCCTATATAATAATTTATTAGAGAGTGGGAAAGAGATAAGCACGCTTGATGGTTTATTGGGAAAATGCATAATTTGCATCTAGATGTTACGGAGACATTGTGTTGATTATTTACATCCACGCAACATGTAACATCACACGGAAACATCCAATCTTAGAATGATAATGGTTCAGAGTCGCTCAAAAACTTTTTTTTGAATTGAGCACTAACAGCAAAATTTTCTAAATAAAAACTGAAAATTTTATCTTGAATCAAAACATGATGCTGATTTTTATACTTTTTTTCAGTAATATTGAAGAACATACCCGTATATTTTAAACACGGAGCCATGTAACTATAGATCAGTGATAACACGGAACGTTTAAAAACCTTAGCACATTTTAATAAAACAATTTTTTTCTTATAGTTAAATCAGTCTTTATGTATTAATTTGTGTCGTCATTGCTGGAACGCAATGTCGTGATCACTTACTCGAAATGGCTTTATTCGCTATTATTTACCAAGATCTAGCCTGCTGATTCTCCTAAAACTTGAATCAATCCAATGCGCGTATAGGAGCATAATTTTAATGTTGCCCATCCAATTGTAATCTCCGAAAATCAAAACGACGTCAAACATCGCCGAGGAAACCTTACGGTGGGTGCTAGTCACACAGTGAAGCTCTTACAGTAACGCGATTGAGTGATAACTCCAAATTCGTGATCAAGAGCCGTTGAACGAATACGTTGGGATCGTTATGAGTTCAACACACATGAACCACTTGGGAAACATTTGATTTCTTTGGTCATACGACAAATAGCATCGCAACCAGACAGCCACATCGGTGCTTCCTGAGCTTTATGAGTAAAGCCACAAGGAGATGACACATTCAAATGATGTTGACATCATCGACTTCCGACGTACATCATCGTCACCGACAGGGTTACAGTTATGATTGTAATCGACATGAGAATTCATGGAAATGCAAAACATCTTGAATAAGATCAAAATAAATATTATTCATTTTCAAGATAGTTCTATCTCACGAACAAAACCTCCAAACGAGCGCTGGTGTTCCGAATCGAGATTGAATGAAATTTAGCTCGAACATCAACTATAAATAATTGTTCGCAAATATTCGCCTAAAAAAGTGCATCACGACAAGATTTCGATCATTCTTAAGAATAATCGTATACAAAACAATTAACCATGGAGGTGATAATTGTAAAAGGGTTAGGGAATGCGACCGGCTTCCAAGAAATATGATAAGGGCTGAGGACTCCCGAGGCATCATCCTCATAATCTTGGTCGTCCGAGTCCGAAGCTTCTTCTCCACTGCTGTCAATAACGATGATGTAGTCGCTGCCTGGAGGTCGTCATTTGACTTGCAAACGGCCGCAAGATGGCGTCAAATTGGCTCCGTCTTCTTTCTTTGAGTCTTGGTTGTCATCCTCGGAGGAAATCTTCAGGTAACTCTCAATGACAGATCCTAAGAGCCCCACGTCAACAGTTGAGCCAGCTGAATCCCACACAAGTTTGTCTTTAAAGTCTTCGTCCATGTCCTGCGCGCCATCTTGTTCATTTTCTTCAGGGTAGTCTTCCAGAGTGGCCGTCCGTGCCAACACTGAAGCCTCGTGGTCACAGTCGGTGGTGCGGATGATGATAGATCCGCTCTCACTTTGCAAGGGAAGCAAAGGAGCTGACAATGCACACACGGCAATACTCTGTGATCGCCCTCTTGGTTTCGGAACCGTGGGAGGAGCTCGAGGCATGACCGTACGGAACTGTTTCAAATCAGCCAGGCCAGGAAGAGCGAGAAGTTGAGACGGTTGCATGAGGGACAAGAGGTCTGAGTTTGACACAACTATTCCTGACATAGTGCCGCTGTTGCCATGAGGCTGCTCTGATCCTGTACTGAACGAGTGTCGTTTGGGCATGTCAACTGGGGTGCTCGGAGACGCTGTCCCGTGGTACGACCATTTTCTGGGGCGGTTCGCTGCTGCCTCCATGTTCGCTTCATCGTCCATTTGCGACAATTCGAGTATACTGAGATCCCCGGACATCCTCCGGCTAGACTCAATTTGAGGTCCAGCTTGACTGTTAGATCGAATTTTCAACTGCGCTCTTCTCCCAGATGAACCACTGGGCGTACTGGGGCTGTCGAGGCTGGAGTTGATCGAACCGGGTTCACTTCCTTCCAGACTGAGACTGAAGGTGCGAAGGCGACCGCGTTTGGCTTTGACTCCTACCGGAGTCTCAACAGTAGGAGAATCTTTGCGAGTGATCGTCATGGCGGTGGTGGGAGTGTCGGGACCTGAGAGCGACTCTCGGGAACCTCGAGAGCCTCGCCGCTTTTGTTGCTGGAAATTGATGTGCGTAGGAGGGGAACCACTACTCGGGGAACGATGCATGGGGGTAACGGGGGACTGGGCTGGGGTTCTCACCAATGAACTGCGCGACGGAGAACGAGCCGGACTTCGACTTGCTGGGCTTCTTGACGACGGACTCCTACTTGCAGGACTTCGGTTTGCAGGGCTCCGGTTAGCAGGGCTTCGGTTGGCAGGACTTCGGTTGGCAGGACTTGTGCTTGCGGGACTCCTCATTGAAGGACTGCGACTTGTAGGAGTCGTTGCGGGACTGCGAGCCCCAAGAACAGGCGTGCCAAAACCTGCCAGGGCCTGTGTTCGGGATCTGGCGAAGGAGAAAATACGGGACCTGAAAGCTTCCCAAGTGGGCCCCTCTCTCTTGCGCCGTTCCACTTCCACCAGACGAGTCTCACAGCGACCTCCACGAGGCCCTTCTACCGCCGAGCACGACATCCGCCTCATCTGCACAAATAATGCTTAATAAAATAATATTATTAAACGAAAGCACCTCCATTATATTTTAGCAATTTAATGCTAAGTACACTGACGCACGCGATAATACTACAGATTGTTATATAATATATCAAACAAAAATAGTAAATTTAATTCCCAATGCCTAGGCCTCATGCAGTGCTTTTCTTGAAATTTGACTGCAAAGTTATTTCGTTACTTTTTGCGTGAATCATGAATTAGTTGGAAGGAAACTTCGGACAACATTCATGAAGCGATGCTCCGACGCCACAATAATAGACTCGTGCCTTTTCTTGAGGTTCCGATGGCAGTATCGAGGATTTCAACTTTCTCACGTCTTGAACGATCTAAGAGCTTTGATCTCATAATTTTTGTTCAACAACGATCTCAAAATCAAAAGTTCGATGGTAATCTCTGCTGTTCATTTGCCTTAAAAAAATAATTCATAATACACAAGTGCAGTATTATATTTCTGTCACTAATGTCACTGAGTTATCGACTACCATGAATGTTAGATATATATTTGTACGGCATGCAATTGCTGTACGATGGATTGAAATTGTTACAAGAAGAATTGCTACAGTTGCAACCAGAAGGTACAGTTACTACACGATGAATTTCTACAATTACTGCACAGGAGATTGATGCAGTTATTGCTTTGTGGATTGCTAAAATTATTGCACTGCAGATTGCTGAATTTGCTGCTCGATGGATTGCTACAGCTGCTAAACAGTGCATTGCCACAGTTGCTGCTCGAAGGATTGCAGTTATTGCTACAGTTGTGAAGGATTAGTAAATGAGGCAATCCTTCGTGAAAGTTACGAATGATTGCAGAAATTACTACATGATGGATTGCCACAATTAGATTACTACAGAACTTACGTTTGGTATAGTGTGTGGCTCAGAAGACACCTCAGACAAATGTTAGTGGAGCCGGAGAATCCATTGCTGAGTTGACAGACGATCCTTCCTCAGCCTGAGACGTGCAGATCCATTACACTCGCTAAAAAATAAAGATACTAATGAGCTGAGTAATATAATTTTGTAATTAAATTATTTTTTATCGAAATGGATGATCAGTGATTCATCTATCAAAATCTGTAGACAATTTTTTAACGATTATTATTGTATGTTTGATGCTTATTAATGAGATTCGGACTCTTGATGATACACGATCATCCGTACAAGAAGTATCAAAAATTTATTGGAAAGTATTAAGAATAAGAAAAGAGCGTTTAAAAATATTAATTAAATTGCATGATCATTTTTTTTATATCATCGACGATAATTCAAGGTCAATAATGGAAGACTTACATAACACGTCGGGAGGCGAAGGTCTTTTAATGAGGAAACTGCCTTGATTACGAGGATTTGTAATAAACTAGTCTTGGATTTTTGTAATTTTGGGCTTTTCATTGAGGATTCATCCTGCCGTCGGGTCCTGTGGTCGCAACAGAGAACCTGCCAACAAATAAACCAAGAAAAATATAAATATTAATATTTCGAGGGAAGTACAACGCGTCACACTGCGATGAAGTTAATCATTCCATGCTGGATGCTGAAAAATATTCTATTTATCCCTTTTAAAATGTTAAAAACTGTTCGACAATAAAGAAGAGTTGGAAGGTAGAATGTTTTATTAATATGTACTAAAAACAATTTCTTGCTTGCGCTTACCTCTGAAATTAATTTTATTACGAGAACGCATTGATTTATGCAGTGTTGCATGCTGTGAACGCGACTTTTTTAATTCCCGCGATGTGGTGAAGAAATTAAACACATTATTGCTATTACAACACTGAGTCAACTATCATGGCTTCGGAACAATTACGTTCCAGTGTTGTGCATGGCCCTGTCGCCGTGCTCATTCCATGGCCAAATTGAACTGAAATTCAATGATTGCGACTTTGCATACTGAAACGAGCGCTAGACCGAGCAATCCCAGCATGATTATAGTACGTGCATTCAGTTCATCATATGAATTTTGCATCCGTTCATTTTGCGGTATATTATATTTAAAAATAATCGGTAGTTTCGGTTTATTTGAGGCAATATAACCATGTAATTTCGGTTTTATTGACCAAAAGCAAAAATAATATGTGTTAAAAATTTACTTTTCATAGACAAAACTCCTAAAGAGGCCAGTGTCTCAGATGTTACTGATATAAAATGAATTTCTTTTTTAAATTCTAAGTATTGAATAAAATTATGTTTTAAATTGTTTTAATACACGAAGACAATTATTTTGTAATTTTTTAAATTATTTATCCTGTCAATGTATTCAAGCATTGTCGATGACTTTAAGCAAATGTGACACAAAAACAATTTATAGCAGACAAACAAACAAACAAGAAGTGAAGTTAAAGAGAAGTGTTGTAATTAGAGATTGGTAGCGATTAAACATTGCGCATGACTGTGCGAGGTATCCCTGCATATAGAAACCTACCAATAGCACTTCGAAATGTTTGCCAAATATTCTCCATTTATATTATTTCATTTATTTGAACCATTTTCGTGTTCTAGTGCTTCGTAGCGTAGTATTACTTGCTCTTTCTGCGTATATACTTTTGTTTTCAAGAACTGTAAGAGAACAAATTTCAAAATTCACATTGATTCGTTCAGCTTTTTTATAGGTGCATCATGTTTTAGCAGTTATGATAAATACAGTCATCCCTAAGCACATATAAAACTTAGAGGCGTAGTCTCGTGTATTCAATGTTCAATTAATTATAATTTTCCGACATATCTGAAAAAGTATCAGACAATGACTTCTAAAATTCCATTATTTTTAAATAATCCGTGAATTTATTAAGGAGTTTTTAGTCCCCGTCGGCTTCACGTGCCGGGGGTTTTGGGGCTTGGATTCACGAATTTGTTCTTCTTACGTACTTGTAATTTAAAGGCTACCTTTCGGGAAGAGAGATACAATTCTCGTTTTCCAGTTCAATAGAAGTCGAAGGCGAGCAGGTTACTCGCGCGAGAGAAGCGAACCCTGAATTAAGGAGCGACGGGACTGTTGCTTTAAAGCTGTGCTTGCACCCAAATCGTGAGGCAGATCTAGAAACCTATTGATGTCATTGTAGAGCTAAAGGATGGTTTTCAATTATTTTTTACGTTTAATTTTCGCTGTAGCTATAAGGTTGATAAAGATGTGCTAGCACAGAAAAGTCCTAGAAAATTGTATGTAATTTTAGAGTGCTTTGGATTTATGACCTTTTGCTTGAATTTCGATGAATGATGACTGTCGCGAAGCAAGTCACAATATAATGAATTTTTAGGGTTGACCCAAAAAGGTGTGAAAATGAGTGTTTTCAAGTGTGTGACCGAATAGCGCGTATGAAGCTTCCTGATAACATCAGCCATACATAACAGTTTTTCCGCTATATCGATAAAATAATACTACAGGAAATTCACTTCTGCTTTTAGATTCAACCAACTCGTTTTATGTGTACAGCAACTCAATTGGCGGCTAAAATAAAGCTTGTTATAGCAGGTAGGAAAATTAAAGTTACAGCACCTGTTTGTGACGTGATCAAGCATCGATACCGCTTGCTTGCAATGCACAACAATTCTTTCAGCGACGATCTCTGCGGTTATGACTGCATTTGTATGCTTCACTGTATATTTCTTATAAGACTTCATGTTGCGAAATATAACCCTCAATATTCAAGTTTCCACAAACTGTATCTCATATTTCCAAATACTTTATTACAGGTTTCACAGGACTTCACTGCTCTTTTATAGAGACATAATCAATTATGGAAGCAATCGCAGAACATTTTACGCTTCATTAGGAAAGTGTCCAGGTACATAAAGCTCCGACAAATTAAGTAAGGCTGTCGTAACTTCCTCTAAAATGACGATGTCGACGATATTGACCTGGTACGGCCGGCAATATGTTTCTCCGGCGTTTGTTCGATCTGAAGCTATAAATTGGGTGGCCGCGTCGAATGCAGCCTCAAGGGACAGGCGCTCGCTCTCTAACTGGATCTCAATTCGTGATACGAGGTCGAATTTCGATGAGTTCGTGAATATTAATCAGTCTTTTGTTCTGCAACTTTGCTGGGGGAGAATGAGAACGGACCGAGCCAGAAATTATGAATTTATCGCACGAGAGTGGAAAGAAGTTAGAACGAGAAATGAATAGCAGCACCAAACAAATAATGTATTTACATCTAGACAGGAATTTAGCAGGTTTAAAACGATGATAGCAGCAGGTATGATATGCCATAAACACTTAACCAGCAGGAATAGGTGGTTTGTTGAGTGTTTTCTCAAAGCGACCCCCCTTTCGCTCCTATGAAATAAAGGAGACTTTGTAGCAACAGTGATGCATTTTTACCCAAGTGTAGGTGGTCTAGACCCAGTTTAGAGCGGCAAAAGGACAATTTAGTGCTGTATCCGCTCTCTACCACTACTGTAGCTAAAAAAGAACGTCAATACTTGTACAATATGACATATTCACCAACAAACTCTGGTTGACCCCTTGGCGTCTTCTAGCCCTCACAGATCTCTTCCCACTCCTGTATGGGATAAGATCTCCTCTCCTACCACTCCTGTATAGGATAAGATCTCCTACCACTCCTGTATAGGATAAGGTCTCCTACCACTCCTGTATAGGATAAGATCTCCTACCACTATCACGGCTGCAATGCTCTGCAATTGCAGCCGTGGGGTTATTTCAGGGCAATTCAGGGTTTTTCAACCCTGAATTCAGTGTGAAACCCCTTTTTCAATTCAGGGCAATTCAGGGAGAAAAACCCTGCAATTCAGGGTTTTTCACCCTGAAATTCAACAACAATTCTGGAAATTTCACTGGAATACAATTTTAAAATAATAATTATACCTGCTAATATGCCCATTTTGAGTGAGCTTATTATCGATGTTCTCTCACTGCCTTGAACTCAACAATCGTTGCTATTTATATACGATTCATACTTCAGTATTTTTATCCTTATTACCTGCAGCATTCTTATTCTAATCATGCATAGTATTCCTATTCTTATTATGTGCAGTTTTTTAGCCTTATTGCGCACAGTATTCTTATTCTAATCATGTACAGTATTCCTATTCTTATTGTGTGCAGTTTTTTTCCTTATTACGTACAGAACCATTTCTTATTCTAATCATGTACAATATTCCTTTTCTTGTTACGTGCAGCTTTCTTTTCCAAATTACGCACAGTATTCTTTTCACGCGCAGTAAATCTATTACCTGAACACATAATTAGCTTAACTTCTATCTAAAACCCGGGAAGAAATCCACGAGCGCGTGCCGGGAAAAGTCTTTTGGCTCAATTCAAATTATTCCTGGAGTAACACGACGCCACGCTCGATATTTTCCCAGGTTATTGACTTTAAAGCTTTTGATGTCGGACGCCGTGAGCTCCGAAGCCGTCGAACTTTTAATTAAAACTCATCCATTAGCGTGTCTAGTCCCGGCGATAAGTGAAACACTTTTAAGTCATCCTTAGCAAATTTAAGGAGGGGGAGACCATGCGTGTTCGCTTCAGGACCAAAAAAAGCAATCGATGCGAAGTTTTAAGAGAAAATATAAAGCTTTGATGCTATAAGGTAGCTATTAAATTAATATGAGCATCTAAATGCACACTTCGAGGTAATTAGGCCACTCACCCTGTGTCACGTTATTGATAAATTAATGATAAATCTTTATATTTTATTGATATTATTCAAATAATTTTTCACTCGTGTATAATTTGAGCCACAACAAGCTAGGAGTTAACGAGAATAGTCACATTTTTATTTCCTTCAAAAATAAAATTACACGCATTTCATAACATAAAATCCGTATTCTTTCTTGAACAAACCAACTCAATTTGCATATTTTATTACGTCATTCTTGACTATGCTAAATATTCTAAAAAAAATTTCGAGTACTTGACGCTGCAAGCTTATAATTTTGACTAGTTCAATAACGGCTCAACATCATTTGATTCATCTTAGTCATCATAACGCAACCATTTCCAAGTATATTCGTGCAATAAAAATATCCTATTCCATAATTAACATCGTACAAATTCATTAAGTTCACAATATTAAGTTATGCCTTTCGGTGTATTATCCTTTGCTTGTCGTCTGGCTTCTTCGTGATGTACGAGTATATTTTTGATGCTGCGTAATCCACGGTACATCGTCGCCGTAATCCACGAAACACAGTAACCGTAATCCACGAGACGCAGTAACCGGAATCCACGAGACGCAGTAACCGTAATCCACGAGACGCAGTACCCGTAATCCACGAGACGCAGTAACCGTAATCCACGAAACACAGTAACCGGAATCCCCAAGACACAGTAACCGTAATCCTGTAATCCACGAGACATATTAACCGTAATCCGCGAGACATATTAACCGTAATCCGCGAGAAACAGTAACCGTAATCCACGAGACACAGTAACCGTAATCCACGAGACATATTAACCGTAATCCAAGAGA